TTGAGGTCAAATGAAATAAATTAAACTCCTCCTCTCTGTGGCCAATCAGCCTTCAATATTTAAAGAGACAAAACTGGGGCACCTGGGTGGCTCAGTCCTTAAGCTAAGCGTCTACCTTTGGCTCAGATCGTGGTCCCAGGGTCCTGGGATTGAGCCCCACGTCGGGCTCCCTGCTCGGCGGGAAGCCTGCTTCTCCCTCTTCCACTCCCCCTGCTTGTGGTCCCTCTCTCGCTCTCTCTCTGTCAAATAAAGATCTTTTATAAATAAATAAAGAGACAAAACATACAGTTTCAGGATTTTCTCTTTGATGTTTACTCTACGTTAAAGATTATAAAGATTTTCAAGTAAAATATTGCTACTGATCTTAAGAAAAATCCATCATGCAGAGCATAATTAATTTTTTTATAAAGAAAATTATATCTGGTACCATGACAACTTCAGCAAATCTAGTAATTATGAAATTAATATTAAATGTTAGAATATCAAAATAGAGAAGATAATTATTTTGAATATGCATAAAATCAACCTTACAACCTTAGTCTGATATTTATCATAATTCATTTTGCATCAGTTTAGATACCAGCTCATTTTCTCAGTCCTCCTGTTTCTCACCAGGTTTCTCCAACTACTTCATCAGACCAGGCCTGCCACACTGAGGTTGGAATCACATAAAAGTCTTGAGCCCGAGAAGTGACCTCAGTACCCAAGGGACATTCCTTTTATTTATGCCTCACATCTGTCCTCCAGTTAACTTTGACTTTTCTTCATTCACTTAAAAATCATTACAAACCCACCATGCTATAGGCCTTGTGCAAGACACTGGAGATATGGAAAACAAGAAAAACATGTCCACGACTTCATGGAGGACAGTCCACTGAACAAATAATCTCATAAAAAGTTATAATTATAAATTATTATTAATGCTGTGAAAGAAAAGTATATGACTCCATGAAAGTGTAACAGGGAGACCTGCCCCCTTTGGAGGCTCAGAAAAAACTTCCCTGAGAAAGTGAAATTTGAGTCAAGACCTGAAGGATCATGATGAGGAGAGTTCCAAAGTACAAAGGAAACAGCACTTTTTCAATTCCAGACATGCTGGTTTCATCCTTCCTGAACTTTTATTTCCACCTTTGCTGTCTCTCGGCATTTTTCTCCTGAATTTTATTGTATCTAGTGACCAGCTCCAACCCTTCCTATCCCTGTAATAGTAACAACAGCTAATGTTAATACTGAGTTCATACTACTTGGAAGATATCATTCTGAGCAATTTATGTATGTGAACTCATCTAATCCTCACAGTGACCATGAATTAGGTCACATTTCCTCACTTTACAGATGAAGAATCTGAAGCACAGTCATAAGTTACTTGCCCAAAATTACACGCTACTGGTACTAGTCCTTGAACGTCCATCATCTCCCTTATAACCTATCACTCTTACAGAAACCCCAAGGTACAGAACTAAACTGGCACTAGTATTTAGGCAAAGAATACCAAGTCTCCTATACCCTCCAAACTGCTACCATCTTCAACTAGGCAGGTCATGCTTTTTCTCTGGTTTTCAAGAAATTATGAATGAAACATTGACCAAGGTGGCCTACACTAAAACATCTCCAGGGAGAAAAAATTTTTTTAGAATAAGTAATATTCTTATAAAAAGTTATTCACCAGATTATGAAATAATGAAAACTGGGCTAGGAGAAAGAGTTATAATTTATTCAATTCCTTCTGTACCTCCCAAGGAAGAGGAAGATAAGAAAAATTTTTATTTTCTTTTAATCCAAATTTGTAAAACTGTATTTGTTTTGTAAAACATGTATTTGTTTTGTAACAACATGTAAAAATCATGTTTTGTAAAACATGCATTTGCAAAACTAAATTAATATCCACTAAATTGGTTATGATGTAGAAGAAATTCCCAAAATTATTTTCTTTTGATAAGCAACTTTTAAATGATTAAAAAAAAAAAACCATTAAATGACCAAGGCCTCACCAAAAACTACATTTAGATATTTTTTAAAATTCTTGTTATGATCAAAAGTTTCATTTGTAAATTCACCATTGAAGGTGATATGAAAAACAGTAATCAAGTAGATGATTGATACAAGTGAGTGTATGACTCATAGTTTGCAAAGGAAAATAATTTTGGGGAAAAGGCTCAGGAAGAAAAGAAGCAAATAATGGATTCTGGAAGAAATCAAGACCTTTCCTGTCCAAGTACTGTCACCAGTTTTTATTACTTGAAGATTAAGGGAATAGTGAATAAAGCTGTCTGCCAGACAGCAGAAAAGGTAAGAAATAACATTGTCTCTAAATGTACCTCACATGAAAGTTTTCAGAAATAACATTTATAAAATTAAACTTTCTATAAAAAGTTACTAGAAAACCCAACTCAAATCAGAACAATGGAAATGTCAAAATAAACCAACATTATATTTGTCAGAACCTTGAACAAAATGAAACGTCAGGATAGGTCAAGTTGTAGAATCGTCTAATTTTATTCCACCTGGTTTTAGAACAAAGGCAGATCCAATACTGATTTTTAGGAGATTTTGTAGGGCTTGGTTTGTTTTTGTTTGGCTCTTTTTCTACTCTAAGTTTAATGTAAGATAAATATTTAGTTTTTGCTATTAGGGTTCAAAAAATTTATACAATGAGCTTTAGTTTCTGGTTCCAGAGGTCAAATTCAAGCCACTGAATTCAAATTGTTCCACTTTTTTACTAATTGTCCCTTCCCTCTCATATATATCTCAATTACATCATATATATATATTTATATGAACTTTTTTTTTTTAGGCTCACCTTTAGGTATGGGTGTTAATTGTTAACCATGCATTATGAATCTTTACAGAAAATGAAGAGAATTTCATTTTGATTAAGTTGTATTTAACAAGAAGTTTTATCCAATTTAGTATTTTATTTACATTTTCGTGTATATTTTAGAGTCCCTACTACATGACAGCACTGAGCTAGATATTTTATACACATAATCTAATTTAAGAATACTGGGCTTACCTTGTTATACATATATATATATATATATATACACACACTGCCTACAGATAAGGTAAACGAATATTTTTGTGATCAAGCAACCTAAGTTATATCACTGATGGCTTTCATATGAGCAACATCCAGCCATTCCAGCATACTTTATGCATATAGCTTAGAACTTAGTTCATAAAAACTGTCTGATCCAACTTAAAGAAGTCTCAAAAAAAAAAAAATTAAAGGCTGTGTATGTCTGTGTGTATGCACACAAATGTGTGTTAGATGACTGATTCAAACCTAGGCAGTCCAATTATAAAATCTTTGCTCTTAACCACTAAGCCACTATATCCTGGAAAAGAAGAAAGGTGTGACTTTTAGAATGGAAATAACCGATTTAGGTAATAATAGTACTTCTAAAATAAGAAACCATATTTCTGAAGTCAGTACACTAAGTATCAGCATTACGTTATAAAAACACATTTGATGAAAATTTACTATGATAAAGATTTTTTTTTTCCTTTTGTAAATGTGCTTAATTTCCAGAAAGTTTCCAGCTTTGTCTTTTTGGATATTATATCACCTAACATTTTTTTTAATCTCTTTATAGAGTTTTAAAGCAATTTTGTATCTAAAACTTTATATAATCCTGCCAGCAACACTAAATAAGGCAAGTATGATGATTAATTGGATATGTCAACTTTGCTGGGCCACAGTGCCCAGATATTTCATCAAACATTATTGTAGATGTTTCTGTGAAGGTTTTTCTCGTGTTTTTTTTTTTGTTGTTTTTTTTAGATGAGATTAAAATTTAAATTACTATACTAAGTAAAGCAGATTACCCTCCATAAAGTGGGTGGGCCCCATCCAATTAGTGAAAAGCCTTAATAGAACAAAGACTGACCTCGTTGGAACAAGAAGGAATTCTGCCAGCAGATTGCTTTTGGTCTCAAACTGCAATTCTTACCTGGGTCTCTAGCCTGCCAGCCTACTGTGCACACTTAGGACTTACCAACCCTCTTTGAGATTCAATTCCTTGAAATCAATCATTCAATCTCTGCTCCTCCCCATATGTGTGTATGTGTGTACATACATATGTATACACACATACACACACACACACACACACATATCCTGTTGGTTCTGTTTCTCTGAAGAACTCTAAATCAAATAGCAAGGTAGTTAAGAAGTCTAACAAAACAAGGAACAGGAATTCACATCCTCATTTTTGTCTCTAGTCATTCCTGAAAAGATACCAAAATTATCAAGAGTCTATGCTAGAACTCAGTTTTCATATCCAAACCACTCAGCCAATGTCATGTTCTTTTTCTTTTAAAACTATTATTTGACAAAACTAATCAACTCTGCAAAACACTATGGCAGATCCTCAAAAAGTTAAGCATAGTCACCCATATGACCCAGCAATTCTACTCCTAGGTATATACCCAAGAGAAGTTAAAACATATGTGACACAAAAACTTGTATATGAATGTTCATAACAGCATTATTCACAGCAGCCAAAAAGTAGAAACACAAGTGCCATCAATTGGTGAATGCATAAAGAGGATGTCCATAAATGCCGTAGTTCAGGGAAAAAAGAAATGAAGTACACACAACAATGGATGAATCTACAACTTGGATGCTACAACTTGGATGAATCTTGAAAACATGCTAAATAATACAAAGCAAATGCAAAAGGGCACATATAATATGAAGCCATTTATATGAAATGGCCAGATTAGGAAACTCCATACAGACAAAAAAAAAAAAAAAAAAAAAAAGATTAATAATAGTTGTCAAGGGCAAGGAGGAGGTCAATGCAGAGTGAACGCTAATGGAATATAGGATTCCCTACTGGAGTGATGAAATGCTCCTGAATTAGATAGTGATGATTGTAAAACCTTGTGAATATACTAAAACCAACTGAATTGTACACTTTAAAATTGTAAATATTAACAGAAGTGAATATCTCAATTTGAAAAGTGTTAAAAAACAATAACACTAATCAACTTACCTGGCCTTTTTGTGGTGCCAAACAACGAACAACTTCATCCACCATTACCGGAATATGTAATTTAGTCATGGCTTCGAAATCTCTATCTTGAGATCTGTGTATCTCCTGAGTTCCAGTTTGATCTGTTTGCTCCTGGGCTTCATATTCATTATATCTTTGTGCTGTATCGTGTATTTTTTTTGGCCAGACACCTAAATTAAATATGCCAGATTCCAACCAGCATGAAAGAAATTCTTTATAGATTCTACAAAAATATGGGTATCGAAGCATTCTGTAGGTCAACAAATCTAGAAAAAAAATTAAAAATATCATGATTGTTGATTTTTAAAATATACAATTTTATATAACTTTTTAATGTGGCCTGATAAGCTCTAAAACCATTAACGTTTTAATGATCAGGGATGTAAAAATTGATCATTAAGTCATCATTTTTTGGAAATATACTTTTCTAACTTTAATTAACTCTAAAGAATGGATTCAGTGCATTAGAACTATTTATTTAGAAAAGTTATCTGGCGGGGGGGTTAGGGGATGGGGTAACAAGGTGATAGGCATTAAGGAGGGAATGTGATGTATTGAGCACTTGTGAGCAGTTGTGATGTATATACAATTGATGAATCAATGAACTCTACCTCTGAAACTAATAATACACTATCTGTTAATTAATTGAATTTAAATTTAAAAATAGCTATTTGGATGATTAAAGGGATTACGAATATTATCCTATTTCAGGTTCAGGTGGTCTTTTATTCTAAGCTCTTCTATTTGTTTTTCTCATGTTAAAGCTTCATCTTCAGTCTAACTTTGTTTGAAAAATTGTCCCTGGAAAAAGATATGCATGTTTATCCAAAAAGAAATGAGGGTAAAAATCAGTTTGTGAAAATCTTGCAGACTTGTTATGAATATTCTCCTGATGAGATTATCTCACCATGGCCTCTATCAGTAAAGTATGTTCCAATTTAAATTATAACTTTATAAACACTCAACTGAGCATACTTTGGCATGCTTTGTGTGTCCCCGGCCCCCCCCAAAACAAGTAAATAAATAATTAATACATTCCTTAACTTTCTCACACTTGTTCTTTTTGATTCTGCAATCTGTAACTGTTTCAAATGCAGAGGAAAAAGTATTTATGAAATATAGTAACAGAAAACCTTTTGGAAACACTATGCTTTCCATATATTAGATTTTAAGCAACGTTTTTAATACTACTACAGTAAATACCAAGTTAACACTCTTCTTCCTTCCTTATAGATTATTGGTTATTTAAGAATAAGACCCACATCTTTATATCCACAAAAGCAGATGCACACTAGGTGCTTCATAAGTGTTTTCTGGAGAAGAAAAAAAAAAAAAATGAATGGATGGAAGGGTAAACTCTAGATTCTACAGAATATTTTTATCAAAACTTACTTTAGGAAATTTCACCTGCCTGACTGTACCAAAAACCACATTCTCAAAATGCTTCAAGAAACATAAATATCTCCCCCACCAAAAAAAACCATAAATATCCTGCTTAAATATGCCTTCCCTTCCTTTTGCAACAGAAATGAAAAATGTTGAAAAGTTGATCACATGTAATGACTAGAAAAGAAATACATTTATATTATATAAATATAATATATAAACCAACAAAATGTTACCTTAAGGAAATGCCAACTTTACCTAAGACATAATCCACAGAATTATGTGGCAAATGTGACACAGGAAAAATATAGGAAAAAAAAAAAAAAAGACTGGAAGTAAGTGTTTAAATAATATTTTGGATGTTCACTGGTGACAAGTTAGCCAAATTATTAATTGTGCCTCGTGTTTTTCAGAAAGCTTATACAAAGTAAACCCAACTACCCACTAACCTAGTGTTTGTAACATTTTTCAAAATAAAAGTTAACAGTTACTGGACACTTACCAAATACTACTAAACTCATTCAATCCTTACCACACCTCTTAGAGGTAGGTAGTATTATTTCTATTTTACAGATGAGGAAAACAGAGAAGTAATTTGCCAAAAGGTCATATACCTAGAGAGCTATAAGGCTAGAACTGTAACTCCAACATTCTATCCCCAGAGCCTAAAATCTTATCTTAGCCTCTATGCTACAAACATAGACCACTGGTTCTATTTATTGCACCCATGTAATTGAATGGTACTTTAATTACATTGACCATATATTTGTACTATCTCATGAATTAGATCCTTTTTCTGTAAAGAACCAATATCCTGTTACTTGGTCCTACTCCATTTGGAAATACAGTATAACAGAGGACATGCAACGTATAGGCCTAAATAGTGGAATGTGGAATATTTAAGCAGTCTACGCTGTATGTCCAGATATAAATATGTGAATCAATTCCAATACAGGAATCAAAACCCCATAGGAAAAAGCAAGTAGAACAGATAGGGGGAAAAAATGCTTCTTTTGCTAGCATTTAACTCTTTTCTTCTGCATTCAATTTCTATGTATTTACTCAACTTCGTTCCAGGTACAAAGCCTAAAGATTTTATTATGCACTAATTGGCTACTAACGTGGGCCAACATGGAGAAAGGACTTCAATAATTTTCCTCTTTGGTTGTTTCCTGAATACCTCCCTCAGAATGGAAAGGGGCAAGCTCTAAATTAGGCAGTCCCATCCCTTTAGGCAGCCCGGTCTCCTACCAGATAACCCTGAGCACTCCTGCAGCTGGCTCCGAACCAAGCACCCTAAATGACGTAAGGTAGTTTGTTTCCTCCGGTCACAAGAAGGAAGCGGGGAGTCGGGAAACCTGACCGCTAGAGCCAACTCTGTGGTTTCCCTAGGTAAGTCATTTAACTTTGCCAGCAAAGTTCAGTTTAAGCTGTTGAATCCAGGGAATTGGCCAGGTTACCCTTTCAATTGTGGGAACACGAAGGTGAGGGATACCTTTGAAAGCTACTTCCTCAACGGTGCTACCAATTACCATCATTGCACTTAGCCTTCCCTCCGGAGAAAACCGTTTGAAACTTTAATTCCTAAGGCCAAAAACCCAGCCTGGAAGCTGGCAGCCGAGTGCACAGAAAGTGAAAGAGGTTCTAAAGTTAGGGAAGAATCATCCTTTTGCCTAAGAATTACACTCGGAAGAGGGAAAACGGTTTACAAACTTCTGAGCTCAGATGAATGAGTGTTGAGGAGAGGAAGCGGGAGCAGGAGCGTGTTTTCTTTGTCCTGGGCGAATCCGGCGACCCCTGGAAGGTCCCCCAAGGGCATGGGGTGCGCTCCAAAAGAGCTCCGGGTCTCGGCCACCTTCTCCTCACCTGAGGCACGAAGAATTCTCAGTTGGCTTCTAACTCGGGCCAGCGACGACCACTATGGTGCCAGAGAACGTGAATCTGCCGCACGTCTAAGTCCCAACCTTGGGGGAAACTTGCAAGGACGGACAGATTGGCCCACGTCCGCCCCAGCAACACAAAACCGTCTGCCTTTCGTTCCGCTGTTTCCAGGACCCAGCTGACAAAGGGTGCTGCGGGCATGGGGGTTTCAAATAGTGTTCCTGGAAGGGGCGGGAATAAGAACCTACTCCTGCCAGGTTTAAATTTACGTTTACGTGTTTTGTTTTGTTTTTTAACGTCTGAGGCAAGTTTAAATCTAACTTTCCATTTTATCCTGAATCTCCACTCTGTTTGGTTTATTATGAAGCTATGTTAAATTTCTGTGTTCTTTATAACACAGCCATTAGTCATACTCCAATTTCTAACAAAAGGTGGGAATTTCTGTCTCCTTCAGCACTACATGTTTTTAAGATTTTGGTTATTTTTCCTTCATTTCGTTCCAAAATACACCAGTCTCTTATACTTTCTGCTATACTCCTTAATGTTTCGCCAAACTAAACAGAAGCCAGCTGGCACAGTGATGGCATTGATTGTAACATTAAAGTTTCTTTGCTTTAACTATACAATTAAGAATATGGACCTCATCATCTGAACGTGCTAAAGGGCAAGTGTAAGACAGAATTTAAAGTTAAATGTAAAATAAGCACCTGCATTAGGTGTGGAAACACCTGTTGGCAAGCCTTACAATGTGGGTGTCAAAAAAGATGATATCTAAAACACTTCTCATTCACCAAAAATCAATGCAATTTTACAAGAAATTGGCTTTTCAAAAATGCCTATTTTCAGAATAGATTAAGAAAGCATCTTAAGATCACTTAATTTAGAAAATATTTCTGAGACAAAGTCCTCAATTCTGAACTGGCTGGTTTGTACAGTTAATAATAAATAATTTAGGGATTTTATGAAAACTTCAGTTTTTTTTCTTCAGTAAAATAAATGGTGCCTACATCTCATGGACTGTTTTGAGAATTAAATGAAATAACATACATAAAGTTAACAAAATGCCTGGGACACCAATGGTAAAGTACTATAGAGTGAATGCATATTTGAAATAAAAAGCCTTCTCAGTTTTATTACCAAACCCAGCACCATACAAATAACTATTGCATTAGCTAAGATACATGTAATATAGCCAGCAATTAGTGTCTTTATTGATGCTCTATCCAGAGTTCAGACACAATCATGTAACATGAATCAGATACAATACAGTGCTTCTGATTTTCTTCAGTAGGAAATAAATGTCCATATTATGGAGGTTTTCATATATTATTTCACTTGTAATACTCTGCAATGTGTTGTGCCATCCTATTTATTATGGGGATAAGCTCCATATAAGAATATAAACTCCAAGAGGGCAGGGATTTTTACTTATGCTATTATGTCCCTAAAGTCTACAATCAGAAATTGCTTAATGGATACAATAATGTTAATGTAAAGAATAACAATGACATTCAGATCACACTATTAAAAATATCCTGACAAAGATGGCTTAGCAAACATATTTCCCATTTTTTTTTCTGGTATTTTTTTCTTATTAAAGCATACATTCTGAAATATCTACAATCTAAGACTTACAAAACCACTGCATCCAATAATGAACTAGAACAATAAATTTAAATGAATTTATTTCGTAAAGTCATCATTAGAAAGAAATGTAAAAACAACAAAACACCAAATAGTTTCAGTCAGCAATAAAGGGAGTAGGCCTGGGAGTCCTGAGAAATGAAGACTGGGGCCTCAAACCAAAAGCCCTGGACTTTCAATTAATTGAAACACTGACCCCAGTTCGATCCAGTGAAAGTGGCTAAAAGGAACAGGTCCCTACACCTACCAGAGCATGGGAGCCGCGCCTTGAAGGCCTCACTACTCAATAAAGAAAAGGAGAATATAAACATTCAGAACCCATTAACCCACACCCAACAGGCTCCACCTCTCCCACAAGCAGACGGCACAAGCCAACCCCTGCCCTCTCCCGTCTCACTCACACCCTGAACCCCGGGACCCGGCCATGCGCCCGCGGGTCTGGAGGTGGCCTGATGATCCCAGGTGTCTACCTCCCACCGGCAGCTGAGGTCTAGCCCCGCCCACCTCGGGCGACGCCTCCGGAAACAGCCGTGCGCGTTGCCCTGGCGACGCGCCTCAAGGCCGCTTTCACTGAGCTGCGCGGCTGAGACTCCTGGCGCCAAGCGGCAGCGCGCCACGGCAACGTCCGACGTGATGGCGTAACGAAGTCGGCAGCCAATGAAACGAGGTGCTGAAAAAGCTGGCTTGGGTTTGAATCTTGTGGCTGAGTTTGAATCGTGGAGAGGCGGACGTCGTAGTGAAGTGTCGTGGTAATCTTTGCTGGACCTGAGGTGAGTGAGAGGCTCGCGAGGAGACACCTCTCGTCTCGAGACGCTCCTTTTAATGACCCATCTCGGTGGAAGCGGAAGGCTCCTGGGGCTGCCTTTGGAGTAGATGGGCTTGTTGACAAATGCGGAAGGGTTAAGTAGTGGGTGTGGGTGTGCGGGGGTGAGGGTAGTTAGGGTCCCTGGGGAGAAAGTGAAAGGAAGAAGGAACTCGAGACCCCGCTAGAGCATAACTCTGCCTGATCAGGAGCCCTCGACTGCTCATCAGGAAGGGCAGAAATCTCCTGCCTTAAATTCTGAGGAAGGCGGAAGTTTTAAAAGGCATCCTGGCCCCTTTCCCAGACTGGCAGAGCACTTTCATTGCCCTGCACCTTACAGTGTCTAAAGTTCATTCCGCACTCCTAATTCAGAGTGTTTTGTTTCAGATACAGATGTAAATGTAACTCTGGGCTTAACTATCAAATAAGGAGTTTTGGTTCTCCAACTTAAAAACTTTTTGTCCTGCAAGGTTCTGCTGTGAGCCTGGCAAAGGTCAGTCGGGGACCTCCTCTGAGTCCCAGTTGTAGCATCAAGACAAGACTTGCCAGCACTGCCTAGCGGGATTGCCAAGAATGGTATGGAAGCGATACTGCTTGGCAAAATGCTTTGCGAATGAAAGGTCCTCTTGAACCTTGAGAATAAGTCCTTCTACTGTCTGTTCTTAGTTTCTGCAAGACTCTTTTAGGAGCTCATTAGGCACTCAGTTACAGTTACTTCTGTTCATGAAAAGAACCGGAATTGAATATTTTTGTTGTATAATACATAGTTTAGGTTAAAAAAAAAAAAAAACTATTAACTATCAAGTAGAATGTATTAAGCATTCTACAGGTTTTAGTTGGTAGTTGTTATTCCACCAGCTTCAGCACTCCGCCTTGGATTTTGGAAAGTATTTATGAACTTTGGTGCTAGAGAATATAAGAACCAAAGGCAAGATAGTGTTTGTTACTAAGTTTCTATTACCTTGTAAGAATTGTCTGTTTCAGTAAACAAAGATTATCTTGCCTTTAACAGTAATAAATTAATCTCTTCTGTTACTGAACAAGTATTTGAAGTACATAAAATTTTCACTTTAAAAGTGCATCTTGTCAAAGTGCATTGATACCTTGAATCGATTAAGGTACACAACAAAATCACGTTTATGCTGTCAACTCTATGAAATGTAGGAGGAAAAAAATAGCCTAGATGTTAGTGCCGCCCTTCACTCCATTTGAAATTTCTTTCTTACATGATGTTTTTAACTAGGAGAAGCACTGGCTCTAACACTAAAGTTAGTTCCAAGGACAGGTGTAAGTTGCATAGAGACTATAAAAGATAGTGTATGGAGGATAGTTCCCGCTCCTAGAAAGTGTTTGTTGAACCTGAATCTAATTCAGATTTAAGCTTGAATTTAAGAAATAATTCAGAATTGTATGACTCCACATTCAAAATAATTCGTGCAGCATTTCTGTTCCTTTGTTTGAAAATATTCTGTTCTTATTCCAGTGGAGCATTGTTATTAGGGAACACGGGCTTTGGATTTAGGCCTGAGTCTACATTCTGGCTCCTCACTTACTAGTTATGTCATCTTGGAAAAATTACTTATCTTAAACTAACTTTCTGTTTTTGTAAAATGGAGACTATTATAGAATATACCTTATATGATTGTTTAAGGATTGAATGAGATGATGAATGTTAACTGGTTTTGTTTTGTTTTTTTTAAAGATTTTATTTATTTGACAGAGACATAGCGAGAGAAGGAACACAAGCAGGGGGAGTGGGAGAGGGAGAAAGAGGCTTCCTGCTGAGCAGGGAGCCCGATGTGGGCTCGATCCCAGGACCCCGGGATCATGACCCAAGCCGAAGGCAGACGCTTACCGACTGAGCCACCCAGGCGCCGCAAAATGTTTACCATAATGTCTGATATACAGAGCATGCTCAAATGATAATCATTGTTGTTCATTAGTAGTAGTTATGACCTTATTGACCTAATTTAAGAGTTCTCAATTAATAGTGTATTTGCTAAGAATAGATAACTGTTTGATATCCCACAAGCAGAGAGAATCATACTTTCAGTTTTATTTCAATATTCATTCAAGAGCTCCTTTCCTGGGCCCTGAAGTTTTTATCAAAAATAGGCAAATATATATTTTTAACTTCTATGAGAAAATTTCTGGAGACTATATATTTACAAGCAAAAGAATAGTGATTTATTTATTTTTTTTTTAAAGATTTTATTTATTTATTTGAGACAGAGAGAATGAGAGACAGAGAGCATGAGAGGAAGGAGGGTCAGAGGGAGAAGCAGACTCCCCGCCGAGCAGGGAGCCCGATGCGGGACTCGATCCCGGGACTCCAGGATGATGACCTGAGCTGTAGGCAGTCGCTTAACCAACTGAGCCACCCAGGCGCCCCAAAAGAATAGTGATTTAAATACTTCAGCTTTACATCCAGTTAGTCTGAGTTCAAATCCCATGTCTTGTGCTTCCAATAGTGTGACTTTAGCCAATTAACTTAATCTATATTATAGTTATCCCTCTGTAAAATAGAAATGATTATAAATACCTATATCATTGGATTGTTTTGGGGATTAAATAAGAAGTATGTAAATTGCTTAGCAATTTCTATTTGTATACTAAGTGTTCATTAGAAAGTATTCTATAAATACAACATTATTAAATGAAGGATTGTACTTACGGTAAATTTTAATACTTTTTTGTTTTGTTTTGTTTTTGAAAGGAAAATAACTAGTCTTGTTTAAAATCCAAATGATACAAAAAGATATACAGTAGAAAATAAGCCTGCCTGTCACCCATACCTTCATAATTCCCCACCATGGGGCAACTGATGCTATCAATTCTTGTGTTCTTTTCCTAAAAGAGCCCATACATATAAAAATATGTATGTCTTTTAAAAATACAAATGGTTATATGCCAAGTCTGCTATTTTGCACTTGTTTTGCACATGTATCTTGAAAACCTGCATTAGTTCATTCATTCATTTATTGAACAAGTAAGTACTGAGTCCTAAATATTGAACAAGCCCTGTTCAAGGTTCTGGGGTACAGATGTAGTCCGTATTCTCATAGTGTTTATATTCTAGAGGGTAAACAAGCAATAAATATGTAACCAAATGATACATATTTTCCAATTAGTCTAGATGCTAAGAAGAAAAATAAAGCTGGTAAGAGATAGAAGAGGAAAGAGCAGGGTGACACTATTTTGAATGGAATCTTTAGGGAAAGCCTCTGTGAGGTGATATTTGAACAGAGACATGAATAACGAACTGAGAGATTAAGGTTTGCAAATCTCTGAAGGTAGTGCCTTCCAGGCAAAGAAGAGAAAGTGCAAGGCCATGAGGTTAGAACAAGACAGAATGTTTTAGGAACACTAAGAAGGACAGTGTGACTGAAGCAGAATAATCAAGAGGGAGGATACCATTTGAAAAAGAGGTCAGAGAGGTAGATGGGGCCAGATGTAGAACCTACTGGACATGCTAGGGAGTTTGCATTTTATTCTTGTGCAGGAAGTCATTGGAGAGTTTGGAGCTGGGGAATGACAGATACATAACATGATCTGATTGCTCTTGAAGAAGGCATCTGTACATACAATCAATTAAATAAAATTTATTATTGTACTTGCATATAATTGGGGGTGAATCTTTAACTTAATTGGCTTATATTTATCTTGGGTGAACAGTACCTGCTTATATTATAAGTTTAGAATTTGCCTCTTCAGCTTGGTTTATATTAGCTTGCAGTTATTGAAGAGAATTAGGTTTTTGTTGTTTTTTGTTTTGTTTTTTTTAAAGATTTTATTTATTTATTTGACAGAGAGAGACACAGTGAGAGCAGGAACACAAGCAGGGGGAGTGGGAGAGGGAGAAGCAGGCTTCCCACCGAGCAGGGAGCCTGATGCGGGGCTCGATCCCAGGACCCTGGGATCATGACCTGAGCCGAAGGCAGACACTTAACGACTGAGCCACCCAGGCGCCCCGAAGAGAATTAGGTTTTAACACTTCTTTATTAAATATAGCAGAGGGATGAGTTTTTCTATGCAAGTGAATATTCCAGAAAATTAGATGTTACCCTTACTAAGTGACATGGTGTTTTAACCACCCTCAGTGATTATTATAAAACATGACCTTCCCACTTTCCTAATTTTGTAAACCAGAACCGGGCTCATTAGGAATATAACGATAAAAACATACAGTCCCTTTAGCTGTTATTTCTTGTCACTTTCTTATACTTCTTTCCAATAATCATAAAATATTAGAGCTAGAAATGGACCTTAGGTATCATAGAGTCCAATCCTCTCACTTTATAGGTGAGCAACTAAAGCGCCTTCATTAGCTTCTTCATTGTTCTGTTTTATATTCTATTTTGTCTTGACAAATACCTTCCTATTATAATGAACAATGGTGTTGGAACTGTTTATCTTTAATGTTTTAGTCCCACCAACAAAAATCCTACCAGCTTACTCTTGAATCTATTCAACAAATACAATTAGGAATAGATATGACAAAATTGGTCAGAGCCTGTGATACTATCTTCTGAACAGTCATGTGAACAGAATTTTTTTTTTAAGATTTTATTTTTAAGTAATCTCTACATGCATCTTGGTGCTTGAACTTACAACCCCAAGATCAAAAGTCGCATGTTCTACCCACTGAGCCAGCCAGGTGCGCCTGAAAAGAATTTTTGAATCAACATGTTATTACATAGGTAACAATACTTTGGCTTTTCTGTTGCTGCTTCTTAGTAAACATGGTCAAAGATTTACTTTCTGTGTGCCTTATTCAGCATCAACTAGATGTCCATCTCTTTTACTTGGCCATGTTAGGACAGAAAACTGGCATTATGTATTAATGTAGGGAAAAACTTCATTAATCCCTGGAGACATCAGTATATTTGAACATAGACTAATTTTTTACATTTTGGTGATCCTGTTGACCTTAGGTATTTTTATTAAGAAAATTATTTTCACTCATTTGTTTTGAAAAAGTCCAGAAATGTGTGATACTTTAAAAATTAAGATCGATGTCTTTCTTAAAATCTGTAACAAGTTGTAAAACAAAGTTGTATAGAGCTGGAATTTTAACCTAAGGTATCTGGCTCCAACATCTAATAGTTAGCATATTGAGTTGATTAGTTAATTAATTGACAGGAGATCCCATCCAACCTTGAGATTCTAAGGTCTATTTCAAAATAATTACCTGATGTCTTTTTATGCTTATTTAACTATTTCATTTGTGTGTATTTTATCTATCATTGGGGGTGAAAAGCATTATTCAGTATTCCTAAGAGGTTTTAGAAGTGTGTATGGAGATCAGTTTTTGGTATCACAAGGAATGCTAAAAGGAGTTCAGAAATGCTAAACATCCTCTAATACATGTAACAGTTCCAAACAAGGAAGATTTATCCTACCCAAAGTGCCATCATGAGCCCATTGGGAAACAATAAAAGGATGAGCCAGTGTCTTTGGCAAGAAGAGACAGGAATGGGGTAGATAGGGAAGAGAACTGACATTTACTGAATGCCTCAATACACTTAATACTTGTTATCTCTTTTAGCCTTCACAGTGCTTTGAGGTTTCTTTTATGCAAATGAGAAACTGAGACTCAGTGAGGTTAAGGAAGTTGTCCAAGGTCATAGAAGTGAGGTATAGGTGCTGTGTGGAACTTGGTTAGACAGAAGTTCAAGAATGAAGAAAGAGCAGAGTAGTAATTCATCTGGGACCTGACTGTTAGAATCCAAATGACCATCCTTACTTCTTCGGTGTTCTATTTTTGGGGGAAGGACAGAGTCTAAAAGGAGTGCCATGCCCGGTGTCTCCTGCTTTTAGATTACTTTGGCTTTATTTGAATTCTTTCCAAAAGTATGTGGTTTTATGACATATTTCAGCTTCACTGTTGTTATTTATCCCATTTAAAAAAACAAAATATCTTTTTTAACCTTTCTTCCCCTTCCACCATACCATTTCTTTGCTCACTTTTGCAGTAGTATTTCCTGTATTTACTGAGTCTTCTCTCATTCACGTTTTTGTCCCACCATTCCCCCAAAACTGTTCTTCTCATTGGCTTCTGTGTTACTAAATCCCATGGTTACTTCTTAGTGTGTACTTTACCTGTTAGCAGTATTTAACACAATTGATCAACCTGTTCTCCTTGATTTAAAGATTACCCAAAATCTTAATGCCATTTGAAGCATTAAGGCTCTGAGGACAGACTTTACTTCTTTAACTTGGGTTGCAACTGCCTTGACATTTCCACCTGGATGTCTATTAAAAGTCTCAAATTCAAGAAGTCTAGATCTTCCAACACTCAGGCCAAGAACTTCGGAGTTATTCTTGAATCCTGTCTTTCTCTCATACTCCACATCTATCAGGAGAATCTATTATCTTTACCTTCAGAATGTTTCCAGAATCTGACTACCAAATTGTTCTGAGTTGACATTATCTCCTGTCTGTACTACTTCAGTGTTCTAATTAGTCTCTATTCCTTACAGTATGTTATCTACACAGCAGTGATAATGATCAGATTATATCACAAAACAAAAAATTAAATCACACAAACACAAGACCCTGGTAGATCTCTTTACTGAAGTATAAGTCAGAAGTCAGACCCTGGGCTTCCTATTAGACTCAAACACTATAGGTAAACCATATACAGTCATAGGCTACCCAAAAACCTAGCTTTGATTTTCACAAGGGCTTCAGCCCTATATTAGTTTGGCTTATGGTAATGGACAGCAAAAGATCTCTCAGAATCATCAAGGTAATGAAGGGAGAATTTTGGTTTATGAACTATTTTTAGTAAAAGTGATCTTGGCTGCAAGCCTCTTGGCAGTGGGAATTGATACACTGAGGCTCATCCCTACGTGTCTCACAAACCCATAGGGTTAAAAATAGTCCAAGGATGCATCAATTAGTTAGCCCGGGTATGAAGATGATGAAGATAGCATATACACCATGGTGTATTCAGAGATCTGAATCTGCTCTCTAATGATCTAAGTCTAGGGTGCATCAATATTAGGTTTAAAATTTACGGTCTGACTTTCAGACTGCCTCACATAAAAATAAAAAGTAAAAGCAAAGATAAACTAACAAAGATCGGTAGTTTGGAAACCTCAACTATCCAGAAATTAATTGAGAATATAAAAGTTAAAACTAAGAAAAAAAATTAAAAACCTTTTAGATTTTCTAATTTATTTATTCATCAAATACTTATATAGTCTACCCTGCGCTGGGCACTGTTTTAGGCTCTTGGAACACATCAATAAGCAAAACAGATTTTTAAAAATATACATGTACTTAAAGAGTACATAGTTTAACTGGAATAGAGAAAATAAACATAATAAGTAAAAAGTATCTACCTTTTGGAGATGGTAAGTGCTTTGGTAAAGAATAGAGCAGTATAAGGGTAATTAGGAATTGGATTGGCAGTTTTTTTTTTTTTTTTAAAGATTTATTTATTTATTTGAGAGAGCGAGAATGAGAGAGAGAGAGAGTACATGAGGGGCGGAGGGTCAGAGGGAGAAGCAGGCTCCTCGCTGAGCAGGGAGCCCGATGCGGGACTCCATCCTGGGACTCCAGGATCATGACCTGAGCCGAAGGCAGTCGCTTAACCAACTGAGCCACCCAGGCGCCCTGGATTGGCAGTTTTAATCAGAGTAGTCGGGAGGGCAACATTTGAGCAGGGACTTGAAAGAAGGGAGTTAGTCATGTAGATACTGAAGAAAGCATTTGGCAATGGAGAGAATGGCAGGTGGAAAGACCCCATTGGGGTGCTTGATGGGTTAGCTGGAATAGAGGGAGCAAAGGGAAGATCAATAAAACATGAGGTGAAAATGGAGACCATTTAGAGAACTTCAGCTTGTATTCTGAATAAAATAAAGAACCATTGGAAGGTTTTGAATCTGGGAGTGAAGTGTGTGTGTGTGTGTGTGTGTGTGTGTGTTTAAATATATTTCCAATAACATTTACCAGGTAAGTGGAATAGAATTAACACCTTTTTATAATGAATACTATATGTCAGTCATATTGTATACAATAGAACTAATATTCATACTTTATTTTCTTTTTTAATTACAGAGGAATATTCAGGCATTCATTTAAACAGGGGAAGCAAGATAATCAACAATGTCTGTTACTGAGGAAGACCTGTGTCACCATATGAAAGTAGTTGTTCGTGTGCGTCCGGAAAACACAAAAGAAAAGGCAGCTGGATTCCATAAAGTGGTCCATGTTGTGGATAAGCATATCCTAGTTTTTGATCCCAAACAAGAAGAAATTAGTTTTTTCCATGGAAAGAAAACTGCAAATCGAGATATTACAAAGAGACAAAATAAGGATCTCAAATTTGTATTTGATGCAGTTTTTGATGAAACTTCAACTCAATTGGAAGTTTTTGAACATACTACTAAGCCAATTCTTCGTAGTTTTTTGAACGGATATAATTGCACAGGTAATTGTTTCAGTTAGAGTTTAATATTTCCATCTGATTTCAGTCTTACTTTAGAATGGACATCTACTTGGCCCATTCTAAACATAATCAATAAGGTGCTTGTTTACTAAAAATTATTAAATTCAGTAGAATTTCACTGTAAATGTAGACTTTCTTTGAAATTTAGGCATTATACAAAACATATAATTTGTGGAACTTTCTCTTCCAAAGTCTTACTATAGTCCCTATAGACAGTCATCTTTTCAATTTCCTATGTTATTAAACCACATGGGTCTTGCAGTTGATGCCAGATTTCTCACAAGTTGTATTCATTAATATTCCCGCTGCTTACCTATACAACTGTCTATCCCTGGGAAGAATTGGACATTTCTGAACACTTGGCAAGTTTCTTCACAGAACCATTTCTCTTTATTGTACCTTGAAAAAAAATGTTAAAAGACCATGTTAATTGAGTATCATGTTCTATTTTAGCATATCTTCAGCCCAGAAAGCATCTCTAGTACTCTGGATAGATCTATAGTAATTTGCCTTTCAAAATGGCCATGTTTATTTCCTAGAAGGAGATCTAAAGGCCAGTTAATTCAATACTTAGAAGGCACTTAACACCATTATTTATATCTTATTTTTGTAATTACCACCATTTACGACATTTTCTTTAAGATACCCTAAAACTGTAATATGTTTCACTGTCTTTCACTGACTCATTCAGTTTTATTACAGAAGACTTACCCTCTTGGTCAAATAAGAATAGAATGTGGTTTATTGATTAGAACTGCTATCATTCTCATTTTTAAGTGTATATTGTTTTCTCCATTCATGAAACTCCGTACTGTCTCCAGAGATTTAAATTTTTCTTGACTCCAAATGAAAAAATCTCTACCAAACTTATACTGAATCTTTGTTTTCTTCTTGGCTTTATTTTATATTATTATCCAGCTTTCTTAAGACTTTTTGATGTACTGCTAGCTTACATAAAATAGAACAGAATGAAACATGTCAGTTTAATTGATTCTACTGAAAAGTATCTTAGTAGTTTGTTAATATTTGGCTTAGCAGAGAAATTTAACTTTTTAACTTAAAAATATTTTTACCAATAATGATGATGATTTTATATTATGTCAGGTATTTGCCATATGTAATTCAGAGTACCTTTTTGTTTCGTTTTGTGTTTGAAGAACACATCACTTTTATGTTATACTGGAGAGAATCATGGAAACAAAATAATTTGCCTAAAACACAAATTTTAGAGAGGAATTTCTAAAAGACTGCCATTGGAATTCATTCTTTCAGCAAACTTGTAGTGAATATCTGCTTTGTGTCAGGTGATTTGCTAGTTATGAAGGATACACAGCCTCAGCCTTGGAGGAGCTCACAGTTGGAAGTACAGTGTGATACATACTAGAATAAAAGGACGTGTAGCATATACTGAGGGCTCAAATGAGGGAGTAGCTGTGACAGGGAAGACATGGAAAAGTGACATTTATGCTGAATGTGAACAGATGTAAATATTCCAGCTGGATTAAATAGAGGAACTCTTCAGTGGAAAGGCAGGGGAGTAGAAAAGAAGCAGCACATGCAGAGAACTTCACACAATCTAGTATACCTAGACCACAGCAAGGAAGAAATAGGCTGGAGACAGTGTCTAGTAGTATTCCAAGGCAAGGAATTTGAACTTCTCATGTAGGACTGTTGAGCAATTAGGAAGATTTAACATATTCAGATTTTGTTTTTGTTTTTGTTTTTTTTAAAGATTTTATTTATTTATTTGAGACAGAATGAGAGAGAGAGCACATGAGAGGGGGGAGGGTCAGAGGGAGAAGCAGACTCCCTGCCAAGCAGGGAGCCCGATGCGGGACTCGATCCCGGGACTCCAGGATCATGACCTGAGCCGAAGGCAGTCGCTTAACCAACTGAGCCACCCAGGCGCCCCTGGATTTTGTTTTCATAAAAAAAAAAAAACTAAAAAATTCTAAGGGATGGATTAAAGAATATTGAGACTAGATAGGGAGACTGATAACTGATTAATTAAAACATGTAAGATTGCTATGGAAGAAAGGGAGCAGATGACGGGAGGATGGTACCATTAACCAGAATACAGAATATAGGAGAAGAGTGGATTTGTGCTAAAATTCCCAGGTATTAAGGATAAGACTGTAAGTTAATTTTGGACCTGTTGGGTTTAAAATTATGTTCAGAATACCCAGATTGAACTATCCACTAGACAGTGGATATAGTAATGTTGTATGTCATAATAAAGAGCTTTGATCCCTTTTTATAAAAACTCAGTACTTGCATATGGTGCCACTGGAGCTGGGAAGACCCACACGATGCTAGGATCAGCTGCTGAACCTGGAGTAATGTATCTAACAATGTTAGACCTTTATAAATCCATGGATGAGATTAAAGAAGAGAAAGTATGTAGTACTGCAGTTTCTTATCTGGAGGTAAGTTGACAGAATCATTCTTTAGTTTAGTCAATAGTATTTAGAAATCTTTTTTTTTTTTTAATTTTATTATGTTATGTTAGTCACCATACATTACATCATTAGTTTTTGATGTAGTGATCCATGATCCATTGTTTTCGTATAACACCCAGTGCTCCATGCAGTATGTGCCCTTCTTAATACCCATCACCGGGCTAACCAATCCCCCCTCCCCCCTCCCCTCTAAAACCCTGTTTGTTTCTCAGAGTCCATAGTCTCATGGTTCATCTCACCCTCCAATTCCCCCCGCCCATTTTTCCCTTCCTTCTCCTAATGTCCTCCATCCTATTCCTTTTGTTCCACAAGTAAGTGAAACCCTATGATAATTGACTTTCTCTGCTTGACTTGTTTCACTTAGCATAATCTCCTCCAGTCCCATTCATGTTGATGCAAAAGTTGGGTATTCATCTTTTCTGATGGCTGAGTAATATTCCATTGTATATATGGATCACATCTTTATCCATTCATCTGTTGAAGGGCATCTCGGCTCTTTCCACAGTTTGGCTATTGCGGACATTGCTGCTATGAACATTGGGGTGCATATGGCCCTTCTTTTCACTACATCTGTGTCTTTGGGGTAAATACCCAGGAGTGCAATTGCTAGGTCATAGGGTAGCTCTAATTTTAAATTTTTGAGAAACCTCCACACTGTTTTCCAAAGTGGCTGTACCAACTTGCATTCCCACCAACAGTGTAAGAGGGTTCCCCTTTCTCCACAACCTCTCCAACATTTGTTGTTTCTTTCCCTGTCCATTTTGGCCATTCTAACTGGTGTAAGGTGGTATCTCTGTGTTTTTTTGTTTTTAAAGATTTTTTATTTATTTATTTATTTAACAGAGATAGAGAGCACAAGTAGGCAGAGCGGCAGACAGAGGGAGAAGGAGAAGCAGGCTCTCCGCCGAGCAGGGAGCCCTATGCGGGGCTCGATCCCAGGACCCTGGGATCATGACCCGAGCTGAAGGCAGCCGCTTAACCGACTGAGCCACTCAGGCGCCCCCTCAGTGTGGTTTTGATTTGGATTTCCCTGATGGCTAATGATGATGAACATTTTTTCATGTGTCTGTTAGCCATTTGTATGTCTTCTTCAGAGAAGTGTCTGCTCATCTTTTCTGCCCACTTTTTGACTTGGTTATTTTTTTGGGGGGTGTTGAATTTGAGAAGTTCTTTATAGATCTTGGATACCAGCCCTTTATCTGTAGTGTCATTTGCAAATATCTTCTCCCATTCTGTGGGTTGCCTCTTTGTTTTGTTGACTGTTTCCTTTGCTGTGCAGAAGCTTTTTATCTTGATGAAGTCCCAAAAGTTCATTTTTGCTTTTCTTTCACTAGCTTTTGGAGATGTATCTTGAAAGAAGTTGCTGTGGCCGATGTCAAAGAGGTTACTGCCTATGTTCTCCTCTAGGATTTTGATGGATTCCTGTCTCACATTGAGGTCTTTCATCCACTTTGAGTTTATCTTTGTGAATGGTGTTACAGAATGGTCGAGTTTCATTCTTCTGCATGTGGCTGTCCAATTTTCCCAGCACCATTTATTGAAGAGACTGTCTTTTCTCCATTGCATGTTTTTTCCTGCTTTGTCAAAGATTATTTGACCATAGAGTTGAGGGTCCATATCTGGGTTCTCTGTTCTGTTCCATTGGTCTGTATGTCTGTTTTTGTGCCAGTACCATGCTGTCTTGGTGATCACAGCTTTGAAATCGGGCAACGTGATGCCCCCAGCTTTCTTTTTCTTTTTCAACATCTCCTTGGCGATTCGGGGTCTTTTCTGATTCCATACAAATTTTAGGATTGTTTGTTCCAGCACTTAGAAAAATGTCATTGGAATTTTGATCGGGATGACATTGAAGGTATAGATTGCTCTGGGTAGCATAGACATTTTAACAATGTTTATTCTTCCGATCCATGAGCATGGAATATTTTTCCATCTTTTTGTGTCTTCTTCAATTTCTTTCATGAGTGTTTTGTAGTTCCTAGAGTATAGATCCTTTACCTCTTTGGTTAGGTTTATTCCGAGGTATCTTATGGTTTTTGGTGCTATTGTAAATGGAATTGTTTCTTTAATTTCTCTTTCTACAGTTGCGTTGTTAGTGTATAAGAAAGCAACTGATTTCTGTGCATTGATTTTGTATCCTGCCACATTGCTGAATTGCTGGATGAGTTCTAGTAATTTGGGGGTGGAGTCTTTTGGGTTTTCCACATAAAGTATCATGTCGTCTGCAAAAAGAGAGAGTTTGACTTCTTCTTTGCCAATTTGAATACCTTTTATTTCTTTTTGTTGTCTGATTGCTGTTGCTAGGACTTCTAGTACTATGTTGAACAACAGTGGTGAGAGTGGGCACCCTTGACATGTTCCTGATCTTAAGGGAAAGGCTCTCAGCTTTTCCCCATTGAGGATGATATTCGCTGTGGGTTTTTCATAGGTGGATTTTATGAGCTTGAGGAATGTTCCCTCTATCCCTATACTCTGGAGAGTTTTAATCAGGAAAGGATGTTGTATTTTGTCAAATGCTTTTTCTGCATCAATTGAGAAGACCATATGGTTCTTCTCCCTCCTCTTGTTAATGTGTTCTATCACAATGATTGATTTGCGAATGTTGAACCACCCTTGCATCCCGGGGATAAATCCCACTTGGTCGTGGTGGATGATCCTTTTAATGCATTGTTGGATCCTATTAGCTAGGATTTTGTTGACGATTTTGGAATCCGTATTCACTAGGGATATCGGTCTGAAATTCTCCTTTTTGATGGGGTCTTTGCCTGGTTTGGGGATTAAGGTAATGCTGGCCTCATAGAATGAGTTTGGAAGTTTTCCTTCTGTTTCTATTTTTTGAAACAGCTTCAGTAGAATAGGTATTATTTCTTCTTTGAATGTTTGGTAGAATTCCCCAGGGAATCCATCAGGCCCTGGACTCTTGTTTTTTGGGAGGTTTTTGATCACTGCTTCAATCTCGTTACTGGTTATTGGCCTATTCAGGTTGTCAATTTCTTCCTGTTTCAGTCTTGGCAACTTATAGGTTTCCAGGAAGCCCTCCATTTCATCCAGATTGCTCAGTTTATTGGCATATAGTTGATAATAATTTCTAATAATTGTTTCTATTTCCTTGGTGTTAGTCATGATCTCTTCCCTTTCATTCATAATTTTATTAATTTGGGTCCTTTCTCTTTTCTTTTGGATAAGTCTGGCCAGTGGTTTATCAATCTTACTAATTCTTTCAAAGAACCAGCTTCTAGTTTCATTGATCTGATCTACTGTGTTTCTGGTTTCTAATTCATTGATTTCTGCTCTAATTTTAATTATTTCTCTTCTAATGGTGGCTTAGGCGTCGTTTGTTGCTTTTTCTCTGGTTCTTTAAGGTGTAGAGTTAGTTGGTAAATTTGGGATTTTTCTATTTTTTTGAGTGAGGCTTGGATGGCTATGTATTTCCCCCTTAGGACCGCTTTTGCAGTATCTCATAGGTTTTGGACCGATGTGTTTTCGTTCTCATTGATTTCCATGAATTGTTTAAGTTCTTCTTTGATTTCTTGGTTGACCCAAACATTCTTGAGCAGAGTGGTCTTTAGCTTCCAAGTGTTTGAATGTCTGCCAAATTTTTTCTTGTGATTGAGTTCCAGTTTTAGAGCACTGTCGTCTGAGAATATGCAGGGAATAATCTCAATCTTTTGGTATCGATTGAGACCTGATTTGTGATCCAGTATATGGTCTATTCTGGAGAAAGTTCCATGTGTGCTCGAGAAGAATGAGTATTCTGTTGTTTTAGGGTGGAATGTTCTGGAAATATCTATGAGGTCCATCTGGTCCAATGTATCATTCAAAGTTCTTGTTTCCTCGTTGATTTTCTGCTTAGATGATCTGTCCATTGCTGAGAGTGGAGTATTGAGGTCTCCTACAATTAACGTATTGTTATCAATATGACTCTTTATTTTGGTTAACAGTTGGCTTATGTAGATGGCTGCTCCCATGTTGGGGGCATAGATATTTACAATTGTTAGATCTTCTTGTTGGATAGACCCTTTAAGAATGATATAGTGTTCTTCTGTGTCTTTAATTACAGACTTTAGTTTAAAATCTAATTTGTCTGATATAATTGCTACCCCAGCTTTCTTTTGAGGTTCACTGGCATAGAAGATGGATATCCATCCCTTCACTTTCAGTCTGGATGTATCTTTAGGTTCAAAATGAGTCTTTTGTAGATAGCATATGGATGGGTCCTGTCTATTTATCCAATCTGCAACCCTGTGCCATTTTATGGGAGCATTTAGGCCATTCATGTTGAGAGTGATTATTGAAAGATATGAATTAATTGTCATCATGTTGCCTGTGAAGACCTTGTTTTTATAGATTGTACCTGTAAATTTCTGTTGTATATCGCTCTTGGGGTCTTTCTCCTTTTATAGAACCCCCCTTAATATTTCTTGCAAGGCTGGCTTAGTGGTCACGTATTCTTTCAGTTTCTGCTGGTCGTGGAAGCTCTGCATCTCTCCATCCATTCTAAATGACAGCCTTGCTGGAAAAAGTATTCTTGGCTGCATGTTCTTTTCATTTAGTACGCTGAATATGTCTTGCCAGGCCTTTCTGGCATGCCAGGTCTCTGTGGATACGTCTGACGTTATTCTGATGTTCCTCCCTCTGTACGTAAGGAATCTCTTCCCCCTTATTGCCCTTAAGGTGGTTTCCTTGGTTCTAAGATTTGCAAGTTTTATTATTACATGCCGGGGTGTTGGCCTGTTTTCCTTGATCTTAGGAGGGGTCCTCTCTGCCTCTAGGACTCGAATGTTTGTTTCATTCCCCAGATTAGGGAAGTTCTCAGCTACGATTTGGTCAAATACATCTTCTAGTCATTTCTCTCTCTCCACTCCCTCCGGGATTCCAATTATTTTGACATTGGAACGCCTCATGGTGTCACTTATTTTTCTGATTCTGTTTTTATGGATTCTGAGTTGTTTTTCCCTGGCCTCCTCTTTTCCCTTTTTATCTATTATATTGTCTTCCAGGTCACTTATTCGTTCTTCTGCCTCACTTCCCCTAGCTGTTAGATTATCTAGATTGGATTGGATCTCATTGATAGCATTTTTAAATTCTGCCAATTCAGCTTTCATTTCTGCCCTTAGAGACTCTATGTTGCCATTACTTGATTTCTCCATTCTAGCGATTGTCTTCATAATTGCTAGCCTGAATTCCATCTCCGACATCTTGGTTATATCTGCATCCATTTGTAAATCTGCAGCATAAGTCATAATCTCTGAGTCTTTTCTGTTTTGGGGGCTCCTCCTCCTAGTCATTCTGTTGATGGGTGTTTGAGGGAATGTATAGAGTCCAAATTATTGACCAGAACCCAAGCAAGATGCACCTGTTTTCTTGGGACCTTAGGGTTGCTCTTGTTTTCCCAGCCTGTCTTCTGGGGAAGGGGCCTGCCGCGCTGTTACTCAGGCAACCCTGTTTGGGCGGAGTTGCCCTGTGCCCCTGTGGCGGGGGATGGGCTCAGTGGGAATCAGTCTTTGGGGCTTTTGTTCTCTGGCGCCTTTCCCTGGTGACTTTCCGCGTCTCTTCCGCAAGTCAGAGCAGAAGAGACCGTTTCCAACCCTCTGCCTCAGAGCAGAGAGACCTCAGTCTGTTCTTCAGTGAACTCTCCAGGCCACACTGTCTCTGTTTCTGTCCGTGCTGCTATAAACTGCAGCGTCCTGGGTTGTGCGCCCCTCCACAGCGCTCCCAGTCCTGCCTCCAGGTCGGGGCACGTCTCTGCCCTTTGTGCTTCTAAAACTGACAGCTGCTCCCAGTTGGCGCGCTCGCGACTCCGCCGCTCGGGGTTTTCACCCCGGGGGGTTGCAGTTCACCAGTGCGACCCCGGCACACCGGGTTTCGTCTCGGAGGCTGCAGTTCTCATGCACGCGACCGTCAGTCCGGGTTTCTGTCCAGGGGGCTGCGGTTCGCATGCGCGCGATGCCGCTGCACTGGTTTTCCACCCCAGGGGCTGCCCTAAAGTCCTTTACCGATGCTACGGGTCTGCGAGTCTGTGCCCATCCCCAGCACGTGAGGCTGTCACTCACCCTTGGTGTAGGATCCCCATGTCCAGGCACCCTTCCGCTGCCGTTTATCCTCCGATATCTGCCCGCAGAATCACGGCTCTCCGCTTCGTACCTCAAAACCAACCGCCTGTGATATTCTGTTTGTAGAGATCCAGATCTTCTTACATCTCAGGCTCGTTTCGTGGGTGCTCAGAGTGGTCTGGTAGATATCCAGGTCAATTCCGGGAACCAGTTGAAATAGGGTCCCCTACTCCTCCACCATCTTTCCCCCCTCCCCTTTAGAAATCTTTAAGAAGTACCATGGCCCATTCAAACTATTCTGTCATATAGAATTTTCTTATGAATATATAAAATCATTAAAATTCCTGGTCTTAAGTATTTGTTACGCATCTTACTCTTTTTCTGCGGAGTATTTTATTTTGGCCTAATTTCTGATTAGCAAGATTAGCACAAAGAACTTCCAGATACCCTTTATCCAGATCCCCCATATGTTAACATTTTACTATCTTTGCTTTCTCCCTCTGTATGTGTGTGTATCTATTTCTTTTTCTGAACTGTTTAAGTTACAGACTTGTAAAAACAGGACATTTTCTTAAATAACCACTGAATAGTTATCAAAATCAGGAAATTAATAATGATTGAACACCAGTACCTAATCTATAAATCTTAATAAGATTTTGCCAATTATTCTGATGATGCCCTTTATTGAAAAAGAAAATCTAAGATCATAAATTGCATTCAGTTGTTATATCTCTTTAGTCTCAATCTGGATTTTTTTCTGTGTTTTATGTCACTGTCATAAAGCCCCTAATTGGGGTTAGTCAATGATTAGATTCAGGTTATGCACTGGCAGAAACACCATGGAAGTAATGTTGAGTTCTTATAGTAGCATATCAAGAGGCTGGTATTGTTAGTTAGTCCCATTACTGGCTTTGTTAACTTTGATCCATTTCATTATGTTGGTCTTGGCAGAATTTCTGCACTATAAAGATACTACTTTACCCTTTATCCTCTTATTCCTCAAATTTTCATCTGTTACTATTGACATCCACTGATGATTCATGCCTAAATCAATTATTATTATGATGGTAGATAATAGTGATATTTAAATTCCATCATTTTGTCTACATTTATTCATTGGCTTTCTACTATATGGAAGAACTTTTCCTTTATTATATCAGTGTGGATTCATAGATTCTTAATATTATTTAATAGCTTATAATCCTTTTCCAAAATTATTTATTCGTATGCTCATATGCTAGATTTGGCCAATCAAGGCTCCTTCATGCTGTCTCTTATGTCCTCATTCTTTGAGGTCTTCTGCCCCCTTAGTAATAGGTGACATTCAACAAGTCATAACTAGGATATAGACACACTAACTTTTCATTCAGGTAGTGTTTCAGATACCAGTAAAGAAACAAATCCATGATTTTACTGCCTATTCATTTGTGGTATCAGAGAAAAAAATTCTGGTAGTCACAGCTCTCTTGTTGACAACTGGTAGTTTGATTCCTACTGAGAAAGGTTCTTCACATTTCAAAAATTGGTTAAGATATGTATGTTGATAAAAATTTTCTTGTCTACAGAACTTGGAAATAAAAGAAAAATAAAACTCCTTTTCTATAGTTAAGTACTGAAAAAAATTGCTTTGAACTTAATTAGGGGTAAAGAACATAGCAATATTATTTATTTCTTCCTTAGACCCTTTTATAAATGGGCGAATTTTGAAATTTGGTTATTTTTATAATGTTTTTAATTGTTTTTTATTTCTTTTAATCCGCCTTTGTTTTATTAATGGTAAGGCAATGTCTGATCTAATGGCTTTCCACTCAGGCTGTGCACCATAGTTGGCTTATGGAGGTTTTAAAAACAGACATGCCTAGGCCTCAACCCTTGGATATTTTAATTTAATAGGTCCTGATTGTGGCCGAGGCATCTATGTTTTTTAAAAGCTCCCAGGTGATTCTGATGTGTAGACTGGCTTGAGATTGGTTGTTCTAATTTTGTATTTTGTATGATTGAAATGGGAAAGGGGAAGCATTTGAAAAGTGACTACTGCTTATCAGAAAAATAAGAACCAAAAAATTACATCTTCATATTTTACTACTTTTAAGAGTTTTATTACATTTAAAAGTGGTTATCATTCATTGTAGAAAATCTTACCAGCAATGAAGTATCACTACAGACTATTTATTAGAACATAGAAATAACTTATACCAAATAATTCTTAAAGCCTAAGTCTGTATGCTTTTTTAAATCTTACCAGTTGTGATCATTTGGTTGGCAAGTAGAAAATTAAGTACCTTTAATAAATTTGTAAAAACAGATCAATAGCACTATTTCTATACATTGTTTATAGAAATTATTTGAAAAATTGCTAAAAAATTACTAAAAAAGGAATTGCTTACAGAAATTACTGGGGGAAAAAAATTGCCAAAGACCTAAAATACAGATGTATATTCAGTGCCATGCAGTAGAATGAGGATATCTGGACTCCCATCCTTACACTGCTATTACTTTTGTGACCATGAACAAATCACTTAACCTCCTAGGGCCTTAGTTCCTAAAGAGGGAGTAAAGGGGACCTATTATGGGACTTATTATTAAGAATTGCATATTAAATTTAATGTAAATAAAGGAGAAATGAAATAAATACTGTCGATCCTTGAGTATGGGTTTTAACTCTTAAGCTCAACAATTTAAAAAGTTTTGACCTTTTGGACATCATGAAATAATAAACATCTTCAGTAAGAACCATGCCACCTCCATATAACTTACTAGAATTTCCCAAGACCATGTGTCCCATATACTTCCAGAAAATAGGAGAAGGCAATTCAAGCTATCTTATTTCTGTTTCACCGTAATCATCAAGTTAGGAATTATGGAGAGAGAGTGTAATGATTCCACCCTTAAATTTCAGTTGCAAACTGAAAACTCTTCTGTTTTTTCAGATGATAGAAAATTAATGGCAGCCTGAGATAGAAGGGGTGAGATGAATGCAAATGAGTTGCTGCTTACCTTTAAGATGTAATTCTAATACAATTTTAAGTCAGCAACATGTGTGATGTCACTATTATTTCAACATCAGTGCTAAAGCAGGGTTTTTTTTTTGGTTTTTGTTTTGTTTTTCCTTAAGGTATATAATGAACAGATTCGTGACCTCTTAGTAAATTCAGGGCCACTTGCTGTTCGGGAAGATGCCCAAAAAGGGGTAGTCGTTCAGGGATTGACTTTACATCAGGTATGTTTATAAATTTCTTTTTCCTTATTGTAATAATAAGTGTGGTTATTTAGCCATTTATTTATTTTCTGTTGTGTTCAAGAAAGAAGAAAAATAATGAAGGGCAGAATTAAAATAATCAGAATACTCTTCAGTATTATTTTGTTTTCCTTTGAAATAATTGAATGAGCTTTTCTTTTTGTAGTTGTTTTTAGGCAAGAGGGTTGGGGTTTTTTGTTTGTTTGTTTTTTAGAGAGAGCAAGAGCTCAAGGGGAGGGACAGAGGGAGAAAGAGAATCTTAAGCAGGCTCTACACCCAGCATGGAGCCCAACATGGGGTTCAGTCTCACAACCCTGAGATTATGACCTGAGCCAAAATCAAGATTCCAATGCTTAACTGACTGAGCCACCCAGTCACTCTAAATGAGCTTTTCTTTTAAAAATCTTGCAAATTTAAACTCTGTATTCTGCTTAATACATTTATATTTTATCTCCTCCAATAGATAAGATCTTATCTTTTATTTCTCATATAACACCAAAGAATAGTTGACCCTTGAACAACATGGGTTTGAGATGAACAGGTCCTCTTATATGCGGATTTTTTTAATAAATACAGTACACTATACAGTGGCTAACTGAATAAAATAAATACAGTACAGTACTGCAAGTGTATTTTCTCTTTCTTATGATTCTCTTCATAACATTTCCTTTTCTCTAGCTTCATTTATTGTAAGAATATAGTATATAATATATGTAATATACAAAATCTGTATTAACTGTTCATATAATCAGTAAGGTTTGAAGTCAACAGTAGGTTATTAGCAAAACTTTTGGGAAGTCATAAGTTACATGTGGATTCTCAGTTGCCTGGAGGGGAGAGGTGTGTCAGTGCCCTGAACCCCCGCATTGTTCAAAGGTAAACTGTATATCTTTTGCTTAGTACTATGTAGGAAATATTTAATGGGATACAATTTATAGAATGCATTTTTACCTTTTATTTTATCTTTAAAAGTCTTTTTTCTTGTTAAAAGTTTATTAAAAATTTTAAAGATAGATGGCTATTTGTATGTTTTTCTTCCACTTAAAACTTCTCTAGCCCAAATCCTCAGAGGAGATTTTACAGTTATTGGATAGTGGAAACAAAAACAGGACACAGCATCCCACTGATATGAATGCCACATCTTCTCGTTCTCATGCTGTTTTCCAGGTAACAGGCCATTAGACTATTGTTCTTAAAATTTAATTTAAAATAAACAAAGCCAAATTCATGTGGGGTAATTTTCATATATGCAAATAAAATCCCTTCAGCTGTCTGCTCCTTCCTCAGCATTTCCTTTATTTTGGAGCTTTGAATAGATTTTATCAAGAATAATCAGAATTGAGATGATGTAAATCAGAAGTATAAATTTTTACTGTGTGAAGATACAGGATAGTAAGGTGGTAGCATTAAAGGGTTTTTTTCCTTGTGTTTTTTAGTTAGTGAAAATATTTAATCTTTCCTAAGGATAATCTTATATTCAGAGCAGACCTTCTCTTTTTAGGTATAGATTTACAGAAGCAATAAATTGGGGAGATTCTGATTCACTTTTTTAAAGATTTCATCATAGGGACCTTGCAAATACTTGCATTCCTTAAGGACATTGATTGCATTGATACAGTTCTTTTTAGGAGCACAATTCTAGAAAGAGGTAAAGCATATGTTAGTAGCTATTATTTTTTGTAGTTTCCAGTCCTGTTAAAATCCAAATTACTTTATAGCTTCATTCTGGATTATGCTAGTGTAACCCAATTTACAGTAAGAAATTGATATAGTTGAAAGAATTCATATCTGAGGCAATCAAGTCATTCAGAAAGTCACCAGCTCATAAAATTTTATTAATCCTTTATGTTCTTTCCACTAACTCTTCATTTATCAGTAGTCATAAGAGAAATGTTTATCTATGACACTGAAATTTCCCCAAAATGTCTTTAGACCCTGCCCTATATGAATATTAACAAAGATCTTTATAATGGAATAATAGCTAATCTTACCAATCTACTTAATTTATTTCAGTTAAACTACAAATTCAATAAATTATGCTTTACTCTAATGGACTGAACATGACATGTATATTTTACTATTTTTTTTATGGGATATTTTCTTAATTATAATTACAACAGTTTTGGGAATTAGAATACTCTTAGACTTCAGTTTGGGTCAACATTAAAATTCAGCTTTCCTTGAGGAACAATTCCTGGAGACATGCACATTCTGACCACTGCCTTTGGTTTTTGGTTAGGAACATTATTTCTAGAGTACCTGTGCCCCAACCACAACCTCTGATAATTCTATGATCTGGCACAGGGGTTACCAGAACACAAATGGCAGTTGTTTTGAGCTTCTATCAGATCAGGAGTTATTTGCCCTCTGGTACATATGTAGGAAATCTTTTCATTTTTGAGTTTTTTTCAACTTCCATAATTATTTCTGGTGTTCTTGGATATCAGCCAATCAGATTATTATACTTTGTTCAGTTTGTTTTTAAAATGAAAATAATTTTGATTTCATGTTCTTTTAAAAATAAAGGGCATGTTTCCTTTTTAATTTTGTTAAATCTTATCCTCATTTTTCCTATTCTGTAATTTCAAAAAGATTTATTTGCGACAACAAGACAAAACAGCAAGTATCAGTCAAAATGTACGAATTGCCAAGATGTCACTCATTGACCTGGCAGGGTCTGAGAGAGCCAGTACTACCAGTGCTAAAGGAACCCGGTTTATTGAAGGCACAAATATTAATCGATCACTCTTAGCTCTTGGGAATGTTATCAATGCCTTAGCAGATACAAAGGTAGGTACTTTATGTTTCTTTATTTTAAGTATTTTGAAATATTGAAATATGTGTAATTCCTAGGAAGTTACTACTTAAAATAGTTTTGTTTTGAAGATCTGTTATATACCAAATTTCAAGAATATATCAGTAATATTTGATAGAGCAAAGACTGTAGAAAGTCTATGATATCAAATAAAGCTGTGTTTGGTTTGGTTTGGCTTAGTTTTAATTTCCAGTTTTATAATTAGAATTTGTTGAAAGAAATGTATTGAATATCATATTGATAGTTAATATTCTATGGTACTTTCTCATCACTTATTTTAAACCTGATTAATAAAATGACCATTTAGTGATCACTACACAACAAGCATAATTGAATTGGGATAAATACAAAAACTACATTTTAGGAAAACAAATTCTGTTCTGATTAGTATTTTATATACTATAAAATTGGGTTAAATATTAAGAGTTAATTTTTCTTCAGATGAGGGGCTTAAAATACAAAATATAATTAAATCACCTAATAGTATAATGTTTATCAGTTGCTTTTAGGCCATTTAAAAATATTTTACATCTACTATATGCCAGAGTGCTTACTAGAACACAGCATATTTGACAACTTCTGTATTGGTAAAACTGACTTCCTTTTTTTTTAATTAAAATGTGATCATTAATTTAAGTTGAAGCCAGGTTCAAGCTTTAAGAAATTTCTTTATTTAGGAAAATACAAGTCAACGAGTGCTAGGAAAATGTTGTATTTTGAATTAGTAAGAGTATATTAAAATGATTTGGGAAGTCTTTTTTAAAAAAAACAAATTCCTGAAATCATGTAAAGGCAAAGATGTCCTCTGTTTTCTAAGTTAAAATCTCAAACATGTAAGCAGACAGTATGATATAGAGACTGGTTTTCTAAACTTAAGCCATTTATAGCATTTTTTCCATACCAACTTAATTTTTTTTTAATTTCTTTATTGTTACGTTAATCACCATACATTACATCATTAGTTTTAGATGTAGTGTTCCATGATTCATTGTTTGTGCATAACACCCAGTGCTCCATGCAGAACGTGCCCTCTTTAATACCCATCACCAGGCTAACCCGTCCTCCCACCCCCCCCCCAGAACCCTCAGTTACACCAACTTAATTTTTAATAATTGACTCCTATTGAGTCATTTATGAGTCCGTGTTTAATGCATGTCTTGTACATATAAAATCATTTCAAGTTAACACCAGCAGCGCGCATTCCACACTATGTGGGAAACATTGCTATGGTGGAAAGCACAGTACTACTGGGAGCTGGGACACCTAGGGCCTATTTCTAGCTCTGAGTTATCAGCCATGTTAACTGAAGCAAGTCATTTCACTTTTTGTTTAGCATCCGTTTTTCTCTTCTGTAATGTGAAAGATTTACATTGTATAACATAAGGTTGCTTTCAGCTTAACATTATAATGTTCTGTTTTTAGGGAAGTTGTGCTTTTTGGAAAATTTGTTTTTTACTTTAAAATCAGAACTGTATCTTTTAAGTAAAGGAAAACCTAGAAATATAAGTTCTCTTAGAGCTGTGTTATCCTTTCAGACAAAGTCTCTGTAAGATTATAGTTTTAATTTACTTTGTATCCATGTTAGCTAATTATTTAATGAGAGAAATAGCTCTCTGCCATGCAGGATTCTTATTATTCCTATAGTAGATTTGAATAGGTCATACATTGCTTTTGTATTTTAATTTCTTTTTAAATAATGGAGATTTTTTTATATGAACATTTTGTTTCTGATAAAGAAAAGTTAATATGGAAAGATTTTGTTAACTATACCCCACACTCAGTTTTCCCAGTTGTTAACATCTCACATTTATTTGGTATACTTACCACAACTGATGAACCAATATTGATGTTTTTTTATTAACTAAAGTTTATATTTATTTAGATGGGAACATAATCTTTAAGTAGGATATTTGTTTTATATATTCACTCAGTAGTTCCATAAGATTCATTATCATCATTTCGATCACCAATTATATCGTAAGTCTGGGCAAAGTTGGGCAGTGCTTAAATTCTTAGAGTGAAGTGATAGCAGGTTTGAATTTAAATGTGGAAAATGACATAAGAATTCTTTTTTTGTTCTTTCAGAGAAAGAACCCGCATATTCCTTACAGAAATAGTAAGCTCACTCGCTTGTTAAAGGATTCTCTTGGAGGAAACTGTCAAACTATAATGATAGCTGCTGTTAGTCCTTCCTCTGTGTTCTACGATGACACGTATAACACTCTTAAGTATGCTAACCGTGCAAAGGACATTAAATCTTCTGTAAGTGTGTTTAGTCTGCCTTTGTTGTAAGGGCATTGGATGTATACTATTTTTATAACTTTAAAAAATGTTAATTAGAGTTGTATTTTTACTAAGGAATTAGCAAACAGGGTTAGAAATGTCTATTAGCTTGGTTAATTGAGCATTAACTTGGACAATTAAACCATTAAGCATCTTGATTACATATATAATAGATATTATTATTTAGTCTTTTGGGAGCTAGGATGCTTTAGTGCCTTTCTTCCTGACCTTTTTCATATCATGGCACATGATATTTTGATGGTACACTGGAATAATTGGTCAGAGCTTTAGCATATTTGTTACAGCCAAGGATAATGTTATCTGCTTTAACTTAGCACCACCCCTTTCTACCTGAAAACCTTGGACATGTTAGGTAATCTCTCCAAGCCTCAGTCATTTCATCTGTAAAATAGATATATCTGCCTCAGTTTATAAAGTAAATAGCCCTTTTAAAATAATTCATAATATTGATGTAACCAATCTCTATATAGCTCTAACGATATAATAATGATTGGTTAGGTCAGTATTTTTGCCAGTAATTTGGGGTGACTAAAAAAATATAAGTCAACCGTGATGTATTTTTAAAATCGCAGGATCTCAGGGTCAGAAAAAACCAAGAGTTTAAGTGGTATAATGGCTTCTGCTGTTTACCCCTCTGCTACTCCCACTGTATGAAGATGAGCAGGTTATTGTCTTTTTTTTTTTTTATGTTAGTCACCATACAGTACATCATTAGTTTTTGATGAAGTGTTCCATGATTCATTGTTTGCGTGTAACACCGAGTGCTCCAAGCAGTATGTACCCTCGTTAATACCCATCACTGGGCTAACCAATCCCCCCCACCCCCCTCCCCTCTAAAATCCTCAGTTTGTTTCTTGGAGTCCAGAGTCTCTCGTGGTTCGTCTCCCCCTCCGATTTCTCCCCCTTCATTTTTCCCTTCCTTCTCCTAATGTCCTCCATGCTATTCCTTATGTTCCACAAATAAGTGAAACCATATGATAATTGACTTTCTCTGCTTGACTTGTTTCACTTAGCATAATCTCCTCCAGTCCCATTCATGTTGATGCAAACGTTGGGTATTCATCCTTACTGATGGCTGAGTAACATTCCATCATATATATGGACCACATCTTCTTTATCCATTCGTCTGTTGAAGAGCATCTCGGCTCTTTCCACAGTTTGGCTATTGTAGACATTGCTGCTATGAACATTGGGGTGCATATGTCCCTTCTTTTCACTACATCTGTATCTTTGGGGTAAATACCCAGTAGTGCAATTGCTGGGTCATACGGTAGCTCTATTTTCAACTTTTTGAGGAACCCCCACACCGTTATTGTCTTTCTTAAAGAAATGTTCATATAATCTATATAATTAATTGGAAAAGGATATTCTCTATGGGTATGCAAAGCTTTTCACACGTTTTTCATGTAGTCCTTACAGCAACCCACTGAGGAAGGCTCTACTTCACAGTTGAGGAATCCCATGCTCAGAATTTTAAGTACCAAATTCTAAATCAGTTAAGTGAGAAGTGGACAGGGCCTCGAAATCAAGTATTTGAACTTCTGTTTGATGTTCTTCCACTATTCCGTAGCTGCCAAGGAGCCCATACAATTATAAAAAGGATAAAATGTAATAACTCGTTAAAAACTAGTGAACTTAGAAATTATTGAAACTTAAAATTATCTCTAAATTTCTTAGAAGTCAGAGGAAAAAGAAAGTGGGCAATTTTAATTATAATGTGAAGAATGCTTTGTAAGTTCTTAAAACTACCTTTCTCAGATAGTAAGATAATTTCTTTATTATTTCATTTATTTTATAAATGTGCTCAGCATATCCTCTTGTTATAGATTTTGAACATAAGTGTAATTGATCATGATTGTCACATGATTGTAATTGTCACAAATTCTGAATTCATGGAGCTGAATTAATAAGGATATAATGCCATTTTTTTGTATATATAGTTATGTGATTATCTCTCTATACATATGCAATCATAATTTCTATCTTTTTAACAGTTGAAGAGCAATGTTCTTAACCTCGACAATCATATAACTCAGTATGTAAAGATCTGTAATGAGCAGAAGGAAGAGGTATGTCTAATTTCCCTTAGTTCCTCATTTATGGGATTCTGCAAACTTATGCCTACAAATTTGACGTTTTTTCCTATTACAGTTGAAAATCTAGCATGTTCAGTTATTTTTCACAGCTAAAATTTTTCTGTAGCCACGTATAATAGAGATAAATAATTTGTATTTTAACTAGTGTTTCTCTCTACTAGATATTAATGTTAAAAGAAAAATTAAAAGCCTATGAAGAACAGAAAGCCCTTACTGAGGAAAATAACAAAGCAAAATTAATGATTTCAAACCCTCAGGAAAAAGAAATTGAAAGGTAAAAATGACATTAAGATCTCACTTTGAGGATTTTATGGTTTTAAAATTTAGTCAGATATTTTATGTTATCATTTGTTGTATGTCTTTATATATTCTCAACTGAATTCAGGAAGCCACTGACTACTGCTCTTTATATTTTGCACACTTTGGAGATCAGATCATTTTAATATGTGATTGTGATTATACCAGGACTTAGGTATAAGATGGAGAAAGTAAGGCCAATTATGTCACTTACGAAATTAGTTTTTTAGCAGTTTTCATATTTTTCTTCTCAGGTGTCTTATTCCATTCAGGCTGTTGTAACAAAATACCACAGACTGGTCTCTTAAAAACAAAACAAACAAAATTATTTCTCATAGTTCTGGAGGTTGGAAGTCCCAAGATCAGGGGGCTGGCATAGTTGGGTGAAGGCATTTCTTTCAAGCTGAAGATTTCAATGCCTGAATCCTCATATGGACTCTGGGAGCCTCTTTTTAAGGTTACTAATCTCATCCACGGCGGGGTGGGGGGTTCCTGCCCTCATGAACTGATTACCTCCCAAAGACCCCACCTCCTAATACCATCACCTTGCGTGTTAGGTTTCAACATAGGAATTTTGGGTAACAAACATTTAGGCAGTCTCATCTGGCATAATATCATTATTCGTATAATTCATATAAATTTTATCTACCTTTTCTTGACTATGTATAACTAATAATTCATGTATTTAGTTTGTTTAGTTAATTATTTGAAGGGACATCTCTGAGAGATATAAATTAATATAGAATTTTGATAAATTCCACCTAAGCTTTTTAACAGGTAAATTTTTTTTTATTCTTATGTTAATCCGCATACATTACATCATTAATTTTAGATGAAGTGTTCCATGATTCATTGTTTGTGCATAACACCCAGTGCTCCATGCAGAATGTGCCCTCCTCAATACCCACCACCAGGCTAACCCATCCTCCCACCCCCCTCCCCTCTAGAACCCTATTTGTTTTTCAGAGTCCATCATCTCTCATGGTTCATCTACCCCTCCGATTTCCCCCGCTTCATTCTTCCCCTCCCGCTACCTTCTTCTTCTTCTTTTTTTTTTTCTTAACATATATTGCATTATTTGTTTCAGAGGTACAGATCTGAGATTCAACAGTCTTGCACAATTCACAGCACTTACCAGAGCACATACCCTCCCCAGTGTCTATCACCCAGTCACCCCATCCCTCCCACCCCACCCCCCACTCCAACAACCCTCAGTTTGTTTCCTGCGATTAAGAATTCCTCATATCAGTGAGATCATATGATACATGTCTTTCTCTGTTTGGCTTATTTCACTCAACATAATACCCTCCAGTTCCATCCATGTCATTGCAAATGGCAAGATCTCATTCCTTTTGATGGCTGCATAATACTCCATTGTATATATATACCACATCTTCTTTATCCATTCATCTGTCGATGGACATCTTGGCTCTTTCCACAGTTTGGCTATTGTGGACATTGCTGCTATAAACATCGGGGTGCACATACCCTTTCGGATCCCTACTTTTGTATCTTTGGGGTAAATACCCAGTAGTGCAATTGCTGGATCATATGGTAGCTCTATTTTCAACTTTTTGAGGAACCTCCATACAGTTTTCCAGAGTGGCTGCACCAGCTTGCATTCCCACCAACAGTGGAGGAGGGTTCCCCTTTCTCCGCATCCCCGCCAACATCTGTCGTTTCCTGACTTGTTAATTTTAGCCATTCTGACTGGTGTGAGGTGGTATCTCATGGAGGTTTTGATTTGGATTTCCCTGATGCCGAGTGATATTGAGCACTTTTTCATGTGTCTGTTGGCCGTTTGGATGTCTTCTTTGGAAAAATGTCTGTTCGTATCTTCTGCCCATTTCTTGATTGGATTCTTTGTTCTTTGGGTGTTGAGTTTGATGAGTTCTTTATAGATTTTGGATACTAGCCCTTTATCTGATATGTCATTTGCAAATATCTTCTCTCATTCTGTCGGTTGTCTTTTGGTTTTGTTGACTGTTTCCTTTGCTTTGCAAAAGCTTTTTATCTTGATGAAGTCCCAATAGTTCATTTTTGCCCTTGCTTCCCTTGCCTTTGGCGATGTTTCTAGGAAGAATTGGCTTCGGCTGAGGTCGAAGAGGTTGCTGCCTGTGTTCTCCTTTAGGATTTGGATGGACTCCTGTCTCACATTGAGGTCTTTCAACCATTTGGAGTCTATTTTTGTGTGTGGTGTAAGGAAATGGTCCAGTTTCATTCTTCTGCATGTGGCTATCCAATTTTCCCAACACCATTTGTTGAAGAGACTGTCTTTTTTCCATTGGACATTCTTTCCTGCTTTGTCAAAGATGAGTTGACCATAGAGTTGAGGGTCCATTTCTGGGCTCTCTATTCTGTTCCATTGATCTATGTGTCTGTTTTTGTGCCAGTACCATGCTGTCTTGATGATGACAGCTTTGTAATAGAGCTGGAAGTCCGGAATTGTGATGCCGCCGGCTTTGCTTTAACAGGTAAATTTTTAAAAAAGAAAGTTGTTAATACAATATTCACAAGGACTTTTCCCCTAAGCAGTTCAGATAATTTTCCAAATTGTCCCAATGGAGTACTAGTTCAAAAGCTGTGAATCTTGAGTAGTTCTAAGAAGGCAATAAGAAATTCCTGGATCAAATGAATTTGGAAATTACTTCTTATTTAAGGAATCTAGGTGTTTTCCAAAGTACATCAGTTTATTAAAGGCTCTGAGAGGTCTTGTAATAAAGGAATCTGTCCAAACTTGATTAAAATTCAGTGAAGTTAAACTTATTTTATATTCTCCAGAGCCAATGTTCTGTTATCACCAGTATGAAAAACTAATCACAACTTAAACCAATGATTATTCACACCGTTTTGGAACTCTAGAGTTTATAGCGGTGTCTTGATATACATAAGGAAGACTAGTGAATGGTGACTTTCAACCTAGTTTCAGATACAACACCTTTTTTAAATTTGGATTTGTATATTGAAGTTTACATAAAATATCCTTGATTTGAAAAAAATATTTTTTGACTCAGTTGACCCCAAATGCTAAGTAATTAATACTTCTGATAATAATGCTTTAGTTTTGTAGATGGCTTTATAGTCTTTGATGATTTTTATGCCCATATTAATCTGATCACTCCAACAATCCTTTGAAATTTGAAGTGGGATATTGTTTTCTCAAAGATAAGGCAAGAACTATAAATCATCTCTTTCAAAAATTAATCTTTTTCTTCCATACTGTGCTATTTTACAAATATCTTAAAGAGGTAATTAAACAGTTATTTCTATCAATGACAATCAGTTTTTCATATAGCATAAAGTTGACCTATATATTGTTATAGTACCAGAGCTCTGTTTATGCTGGAAATTTTCTAAAATATTTAGGTTATTTTCTTGTTAATCCCTCCAACAACCCGCTGTCAAAATAAAATTGTTACATTTATGATGCTTTTTGTTATATCCCACCAATCTTACAGTGACTTTTTTTTTTTTTAAAGATTTTATTTATTTATTTGAGAGAGAGAGAGTGAGCGGCAGAGCGCACAAACAGGGGGAGCAGCAGAAGCAGAGGGAGAAGCAGGCTTCCTGATGAGCAGGGAGCCCGATGTAGGGCTCGATCCCAGGACCCTGGGATCATGACCTGAGCCGAAGGCAGTCGCTTAACCGACTGAGCCACCCAGGCACTTACAGTGACTTTTGAAAAATAAATGAAGTGAAAGTCATTCCTTGTTACACAGTTTAACTTATCAAAAAGAGCTTTTAACTGACATATTATTAGTTGTTGTTAGGTTTTATTTTTTTTTTTAATTTTATTATGTTATGTTAGTCATCATATAATACATCATTAGTTTTTGATGTAGTGATCCATGATCCATTGTTTTCGTATAACACCCGGTGCTCCATGCAGTACGTGCCCTCCTTAATACCCATCACCGGGCTAACCAATCCCCCCTCCCCCCTCCCCTTTAAAACCCTGTTTGTTTCTCAGAGTCCACAGTCTCTCATGGTTCATCTCTCCCTCCGATCCCCCCCCTTCATTTTTCTCTTCCTTCTCCTAATGTCCTCCATGCTATTCTTTATGTTTCACAAATAAGTGAAGCCATATGATAATTGACTTTCTCTGCTTGACTTGTTTCACTTAGCATAATCTCCTCCAGTCCCATCCATGTTGATGTAAAAGTTGGGTATTCATCCCTTCTGATGGCTGAGTAATATTCCATTGTATATATGGACCACATCTTCTTTATCTGTTGAAGGGCATCTCGGCTCTTTCCACAGTTTGGCTATTGTGGACATTGCTGCTATGAACATTGGGGTGCATATGTCCCTTCTTTTCACTACATCTGTGTTTTTGGGGTAAATAACCAGTAAATAACCAATTGCTGGGTCATAGGGTAGCTCTATTTTTAATTTTTTGAGGAACCTCCACACTGTTTTCCAAAGTGGCTGTAGGTTTCATTTTGTTAGTCAAATGTGGGATTGGCCCACGTGCAACCAGATATTCTTTTGTTGATGTAAGTTTAAAAACAAATTTAAAGAAAATTAAAGAAGTCACCAGCTGCTCAAACATGGACTTACTGCTTGCATGGGATTGTTCAGCGCTATTTAACCAGATCTAGTTACCAGTTAAAACCTTAGTAGACTTTTCTGCAGTTGATGGCTTCAAGTCATGGAACCTTTCCTTCTGAGAAAATGATTTAAGAGGGAGATGGCCTGAGCTAGGAAATAAAACAGTAAAAACTTTAGGGTTTTAATTTGTGCAACGTATTATTTAGCATAATTTCCTTGTATATTATAAAGAAGCTGTAAATATCAGATTATATACCCCAGAGCTTTTGTCATTTTTCCTCCATCGAGCCCCGCATCAGGCTCCCTCAGCGGGAAGCCTGCTTCTCCCTCTCCCTTTGCCTCTTCCTCTGCCTTCTTGTACTCTCTCTCTGTCAAATAAACAAGTAAAATCTTTTAAAAAAATTTAAAAAAAAGAAGGAATGATAATATCCAAGAAGAAATCATAAAAAGAAAGTACAATTGTTCTTTATACAAAGTAATTATACAACTTCACTTGTGACTGTATCAAGAAAATTGTGTAGAATTTAATAATCATCATGTATCACCTAAAATCATAGGCAAAGATTTTTATTACTAGTTAGTTGAATGTTTTAAATGACTAGAAAATAGTTATTAGTCAATCCCTTAGGACTCTTTACTGTTTTAAAATGATAGTTTTTTTGGTTTTTTTTTTTATGGAGATCTCTAGAAACCTTTGATACTTCCTTTTCTTCCATCCTAATCGGTAAACCCCACCAACTAAAATAAGTCTGGAGCACAAAATTACAAAATTGACAAATATTTAACTCTATCCTTAGATAAAATGTTTTAAAAAAAACTAAGAAATTATCTTTGAGAATAACCTAAAGATAACTTATCAATTCATTTACTGGCATTGGTGTGTTGTAATATAATACAATGAAATTGCAATGTCCATACATACTTCCTATGAAATATTTATCAGTTTGACAAAACTGCAGTCAAGTCGATGTATTGTGGTTTATAGTCATTCCCAATAGAGTTTTATTAAGAACTACTGACGTAAATTGGCAGTGTCTTTACCACAGATCCTTACAAATATATCTAAAATTTTGGCTGAAGAACATTTATTTTTAAATGCATATAATTTGTTACAGTTTTATTTTAAAGGCTTCACAGTTAATTTTTCTTTGAGAGCTTTGTATATGACTGTTCATACTATTACTGTAGGTCAGACCTGATCTGTGATTTAAAAACATAAATATATATTTATAAAATTAGAATATTGCTGTGACCAATGTTCTGCTGACCCTGGAGGATGCAGAATTGCAGGTTCCTTTTAGGCCTTGCATAGATTTTTTTGAGCTTGAGGTCTTTATGCATCTGGAGGAGATTGAGTCAAATCCCTCAACTTTGATTCTCCAAATCTTCATTGCCCTTTGGAGGAAAGATACCAGAGTGGCTTTTCTAGGTTTACCACATTGCAAACTTGGTTGTTTTGGGTCCTGGCAATGTCAGCTGACTCCTAGCCAGGCTGTAGGGGGTACCTAACCGTATGGTGTGTTTTCACTGTAACAAATTCTAAAACTAAAAACTGGCTATCTCACTTTCCCTAGGGGGCCATGGAGGCGCCATATGATTAGGCCACCCACTGCTTGTTTCTTCACAGTTAGCCAAAATCAAAACAACACACAGTACTGTGTTGCTTTGGGGGCCTTTTAACTGGGATTGTACAGGTTCAAATTATCATCCTTTTCCTACAAACATAATATTTTATTTCTGCTAAGCAGCTGGATTACATAGACAAAATAGAGTATATTAGTTATATAATTATGACTTACATAGACCTTATAATACCTATATCTTTTAATAATATGATCTTCCTTGGAGAAGAAAAAGAATACAGTAAAAATGAAGTTAATATCCTTTTCCAAACATTTTTGTAATTTAATAGGAAACAGTCACTAACCTATTTGCTGTTTGTCATTGGGTCTAATTCTATGAGTGATATATATTCTTTTGTTCATTTATTTGTTAAATAAATTTATTTCACAAAATTAGTCAGATTCTGTAATGTGTTTTATATTTGGTAGATTTCAAGAAATTCTGAACTGCTTGTTCCAGAATCGAGAAGAAATTAGGCAAGAATATCTGAAGTTGGAAATGTTACTAAAAGAAAATGAACTTAAATCATTCTATCAACAACAATGCCACAAGCAAATTGAAATGATGTGTTCTGAAGACAAAGTAGAAAAGGTATTTATAATTAAATTTTACACATGTAAACACATGGGGACTTCTAATTCTATAAATGTGATAGATAATGTTATTTAATTACCCATTCACTATGAACATCTGGAAATGCTGGAGGAAATGTATCAAACATTGTTTTAAATTCATAGTTAAGTGCGCAAGACAGAAAATTAAATTCCTAAGTGTCAGAAAGAAAAAGGAAACCAAATAAAACAAAATCTCAACTGCAATTGTTGCTTCTGTGAGGGTTGATGGAACACTTTACATGAAGTTAACACCCTCACTGTTGGGTACCAAAGGTGGGGCAGTGGGAGCCGTAAACCCCAGATACAGGCAGTAATTTACAACTTAGACCAATTGCAGATCTTTTTTTCCAGGAAAGAATTTTTTTTTTTTTTTAAAGATTTTATTTATTTATTTGACAGAGAGAAAGATAGCGACAGCAGGAACACAAGCAGGGGGAGTGGGAGAGGGAGAAGCAGGCTTCCCGCTGAGCAGGATCCCAGAACCCTGGGATCATGACCTGAGCCGAAGGCAGACGCTTAACGACTGAGCCACCCAGGCGCCCCTGGGGAAGAATATTTTATCACTGACATTGTTAGAATTTCCATTGCATGGTGCTGAGAAAGGCAGACCATCTTTTACTCATTTTTATTATTTCATGCAGTAGTACGCTGCCCTCCCTCCGTCCACACACGCAGACCTCTCCCAATATCATACCTTTGATGTACACCACTTCTTAGGCAAGGGACCCAAGGGAGACAGGGCGTTAAAAATGGCAGACCCTACATAAAACTGGGAACCTCAGAGGTCTGTACTCTTCGTATTGGTAGTACACCATGAAGAAACATTTTCCCAATCAGCACAGAAAGATAAGGAACCATGCCTAGGGTAAGAAAAAGTCTCACTTAAAGACTAACTATTGGGGCACCTGGGTGGCTCAGTTCGTTAAGTGTCTGACTCTTGATCTCAGCTCAGGTCTTGATCTCAGGGTCGTGAGTTCACACGATGCTGGGCAGGGAGCCTACTTTAAAAAAATTTCAAAAGAAAAAAAAAAGATGTTAAAGACTGCCATTATAGATATTCTTTCCAAGGATTTGAGGTTTGAATTTTTATAATCCATGTGTTTTATTTAGTAAACCCTTATAGTGAGAAAATAACATAGAAAATGGTATCAGAGCAGCAATAATCTTTGGGGAACTGGGCAGTTCCTAGTGAAACAGACCCTCAGTTCAAATCACTAATGAGAACCCACTGTCCAAATTTAAAAAGCACATGGTGAAACAGTCCACCATAATCAAGTCAGCAGATTTGGCAAATAATGACAGATTTCCCAAAATTTCAAACACTTAAGCAATCTGATAAAAATTATAAAAAAGACTAAAGATGTCAAAGAAGGAATTAATGATAAAGGAATTCCTCTTTGACATCTTTAGTGTGTTTGAAAACACACAAAAGGAAAACATACGAAACATACAAAAAGAAAAAAAATGAAACTTCCAGAAATTAAAGATTTATTCACTGAAATTTAAAAGTTCACTTTATAGGTACAATGCTAGGTAGTGTTTAAATACTTCACATGCATTAACTCAATTCTCAGAAAACCCTATGAGAGGGGCACCTGGGTGGCTCAGTCGTTAAACGTCTGCATTCGGCTCAGCTCATGATCCCAGGGTCCTGGGATCGAGCCCTGCATCGGGCTCTCTGCTCGGCGGGAAGCCTGCTTCTCCCTTTCCCACTCCCCCTGTTTGTGTTCCCTCTCTCACTGTGTCGCTCTCTGTCAAATAAATAAATAAAATCTTTAAAAAAAAAAAAAAACCCTATGAGAGATGTAATATTATTCTCATAATTAAGAGGAGGAAACCTGAGTACAGAGAAGTCATCTTGCTCAGGGTCACACAGCTCATACATGTCAGACCTATGATTTGAACTCAAGCAAGTTGATTCCAGAGCCTATTATTTCTATTCTTTTTTGTGCGTTAGATAAGCTGAAGAGACTAATTCTGGGTATTGGGAGACCTGAGGAAATCATATCAAATATAGGATAAAAAGATAGCAAATGTGAACAAGATGTTATTGCCTGAAGGACAAACTGAAAAGTCATGCATTCTTTTTTTTTTTTTTTTTAAGATTTTATTTATTTATTTGACAGAGAGACAGCTAGAGAGGGAACAGAAGCAGGGGGAGCGGGAGAGGGAGAAGCAGGCTTCCCACTGAGCAGGGAGCCAGATGCTGGGCTCGATCCAAGGATCCTGGGATCATGACCTGAGCTGAAGGCAGACGCTTAACGACTGAGACACCCAGGCGACCTGCATGCATTCTTCTAATAGTTATCCTGAAGGAGGTATATTAATGCAAAAGGGGAGAGGATAATATGCAAGGTTTCAGGCTTAGAATTTTCTAGGACTAATAAAATGTCAATAAGATGTAACTTCAAGAAGCAGGAGATCTAAGCAGGATAAAAAATAATGTAAACCTGGATGTATGGAACTCCAGATCACCAAAGAGCAGAAAAATAAACATTTTAATAATTTTTCCCTCCAGTTTTGTTGTTCATTGGTGATAAGCTTAATTTTATTTTTATTTCTTTTTTGAAATTAGTTACACAGGTAATACATAAGATACATTTGCATATTACTTATTAAAAAGCTGGCTCTTATAAATAATTTTCTGGTCCTCTTAGACCACCACCCCAAAATGTGTTTCTCCTGTACCTACCTTCCCATAAGTTAACAATTATATATGAAAATATTACATTTTTTTAATGTCTGAAAGCCATCAAAATTTTTTTTTTTTTAATTTTATTTATTTATTTGAGACAGAGAGAATGAGAGAGACAGAGAGCACATGAGATGGGGGAAGGGTCAGAGGGAGAAGCAGGCTCCCTGCTGAGCAGGGAGCCCGATGCGGGACTCAATCCCAGGACTCCGGGATCATGACCTGAGCCGAAGGCAGTCGCTTAACCAACTGAGCCACCCAGGCGCCCTGAAAGCCATCAAATTTTAAACAGTGCTTTAAAAAACTAGCATTTCAGTTTTTTCTCAGACTATGAAATTGCAGAGTATGATATGCTAAGAAATTAATCATAAAGTATTCATTAATATATCATTGATGCCAGTTTATCAGTAGCTATTAAACTATACTATCAAAATTAGTAATTTACTTACTGAGTATGCATTTATTATGCCTTATCTTACTGAAAATGCCTTTTTTAAAAACCACTTTAATAAGATTTGATTGACATACCAAAAATATGAGTACTTATTAAGACAGAGTAGGAGAATGGGTTTGGCTTTCTATTTTCTAATTTCTATAAAAATTTAAAAAATTTTTTCTGGGGCGCCTGGGTGGCTCAGTTGGTTAAGCGACTGCTTTCGGCTCAGGTCATGATCCTGGAGTCCTGGGATCAAGTCCCGCATCGGGTTCCCAGCTCAGCGGCGAGCCTGCTTCTCCCTCTGACCTTCTCCCCTCTCATGATGTTTCTCTCTCTCTCACCCTCTAATACATAAATAAATAAAATCTTTAAAAAAATAAATAAATAAATAAATAATTTTTTCTGTTTGCATCTGTATTCTGCTTAATAGCCTTTTTTCGACCTACTTGCCTTTTAGGATTTTTTACTTTTCATCATTTCAATCTATATATTCCAATTCTTATAGCTATTCTTATGAGACTAGGTAAGCAATGGAGATAAAACCTCAAGTGTATTGGTTGTAATTAAATTACTGAAAAACATAGGAAGACATCTATAGAGATTGAGGTGTTTTTGTTGGTGGCAGTTTTCGTTTTGTTTTTTTACATGCTAAAGTATCAAACTATAGTTTTACTAAATTGCCTGCTAGGGCAAGGAATTTTATATCTGTCTTGGATCCTGTCCAGAAGTGGTTTATTATCAGAAGCGCTAGAAGAACCTCATAACATTGACTCAGACATAAATGGTTCTAGAGGATAGACTCTGAGATTAGAATTAAAGTGAAGCTCTTGGGTAATTTTATGGCCATATAAAGGTAATCTGCAAATTATTTTTAGCCAAATAATGAGTTTACTATGTTAGCGGTCCTTTTGCACAAAGCAGTAGTAACACCTAAATTTTAGAATTATTTGTCTGTTCTCACTCAAGAAGTTTTGTGATGTTCTGGGGATTTTGTTAATTAAATATATAAAGCTCTTTTGAAACCTTAATGGGAAGCATTTGCTTTAATGTCAGGATTTAACATGCATATTTTAGCATTTATCCCCAGACACTTATTTGCTATTTATTTCAGAACAATGATTCAATAGGAATACCCTGATGGAAAATGTCCCCCTAGGGAACCATCATAAAGGATCCACTTGATGGACATTTTTTTTTTAAAGATTCTGTTTATTTTGAGAGAGAGAGTGTGTGCACGTGAAGGAGGGAGGGGCAGAGGAAGAGAGAGAATCTCAAACACACTCCACACTGAGTGCAGAGCAAGACTGTGAGATCACTACCTGAGCCGAAATCAAGAGTTAGACACTTAACCAGCTGAGCCAACCAGGTACCCATTGATGGACATTTAAAAGTAAAAACTCAAAAACATACTTTTGGCGGTTTTCAGTTAAAAACTTTTTGGTATTAAATATTAGCTGCCATGAGAGCCTTAGAGCATTTCCTGCCCTGGTTTCTAAGAGTTCCTACAACATTTATAAATATTAAAGCAAAGTAAAGATGATGTGATTTAACGGTCTTCCTTCAGGCAGGTACAATACTTTTATGTTCATTTTCAGATGAGGTGACTAAAGATCCACTGAGATTAACTTGCCTAAGTTTTCACACCTCCTGAATAGCAGAAGAAAGTCAAGAGGCTACATATTCTACCTTCTGTTATAGTAGTGGGTCTACACTTCAGGTCTCAGGACCCCTTACTATTTGAAAAAAAATACTTAGGACCTAAGCGAGCTTTTATTCATATGAATTCCAACTACCAATATTCCTATACGAAATATTCAAACTGAAACTTAAAAAAAAATATATTTATGTATTAATTTTAAAACCATTAGCTCATTGCATAACGTAAATAACACTTTAATGAAAAATAATTACGTTTTCTAAAGCAAACAAAAAGAGGTAGTGAGAAGAGTTTCATTGTTTCACATTTTAGCAAATTTCTTTAATGGCTGGCTTTTCCCCAAAATTTTAATACATGTTTTATAAAATATAGTAAGGAAGAAGGACTTATCTTAAGGAGGTCTTTGACCAAGTTCAAGGTAGTCCCTGCTCTTTTTTTCTTTCATATAACTCCCTACTTCCAAAACCAGCTACAGGTGCTTTTTTCCAATCTGGGGATCGATTATTTCAAGTCCAGCCATCATATCTGATGATTTTTTAGTTCAGTATCTGTTTTCAAATAACCCAAAGAGATCAAGCTGTTCAGCTCACAGTTCCCATGATAGTGTGCAAGACCGTTGGGATAAGAAATCAAAAGGCCAGATTCATGCCTACATAAAATACCAAAAATATTCAGAATACCCATTATGGATCCTGAACTAACCATCAGGTAAGATCAGATATTTATGAGCACTCTGATATAAGTTCTATTTTCTAACACTTGCACCAGCCTATCTATAGGCATTGTAGGCAAAATCAGAGCAGAGTTATTTCTTCACATCTTTCAAGTTGGAGGAAAGGAAAGAGTAGGACTTGCATCTGCTTTGATTTTGAGTAAAGGAATCATGGGAATTATCAGACCTTGTATGAACTTTTCAAATGCAGCATTTAAAGGAATGTATTTTAGTGCGTGCGCACACACACACATACACACACAAAGCTACAGTCTTCAGTTTGGCTGTTGTAATTCTTAAAGCCATAAATTCTCAACGTGTAATTTTATAAAAATGACTCACAGCTCAATTTCCTATTTTCCTGCAAGCAGGAGTATTGTGGAGATTTCAAAGGGGAAATAGCTTTAAGTACAAAAGTATAGCCTAACTTAATAGACTACAGTTGCACCCTTATGAGAAAATTTACTACTTTACTAATATCACATACATCAAATATCATAAAAATTAAGCTATTAAATGCATTATTTTTCAGGCCACTTGCAAACGAGATCATAGACTTGCAATGTTGAAAACTCGTCGCTGCTACCTAGAGAAGAAAAGAGAGGAGGAATTAAAGCAATTTGATGAGAATACTAATTGGCTTCATCGTGTAAAGACTGAAATGGAACTCTTAGGTCAAAATGGTCATATTCCAAAGGTAGGAATGTGTTTATTCAGATTCATTTGTAAGAACTGAGCTCTTTAAACCCATTGTCTTTGTCATTGGGTATATATCTCTCATAAGACAACTATTGTTCCATCTCTGAGATTTAGCTGACTTATTTTACCATTTACCTTTACTCATTTTACCTTCTCCTCCGTACTTATGCAATAAATTTGCCTTTTCTGTACTTTCTGAAGAGTAAAGTTCTTTTACGTTATTCTTAAGCGATTACATCTTTTGATGAGATAGCTCTTAAGTTAGAATAAAGTAATCAAACTGTACTTGAGGATTCATCATTTAGGTAATTTCAGTTTGTTTTAATACTTGAGGTTTTGTGGAAAAATAGTTTTAAACGTGGTCACCCTTACTTGTATCATAGCTAACAAAAGCTGATTTGAAAGTTGTGTGTGTGTGTGTGTGCATATAGGTACTAAACTGAAGGTATTCCACCTAGAATGGCAAAAGATATGAAGAGTAGTGATGGGTAATGGTGGTTAAGAAATGTGTTTATCCACATGGTTACAGAAATATGACTTTATTGCCTTTACCAGTCCGGGCTATTTTTTGCTCCCTTAACAATAAGTCTTGAGAATATGAAGTTTATTCCTAATATAGTACCTCCAAAATGTCATCAGTGTCATTGTTAATACTTGTCATTTCATAGTTACCATATCATTATTCCATCTTTAGTCTCAAGTTCACACTTAGGCCAGAAGAAGAAGAGAGAAAGAAAGTGGGGAGGTATATCTGTCTTGGGAGAGGAAAAGCTTTTCCAGAAGTTCCTAGCAGACATATCTTATTGGCTAGAATTGTCAAATGGCTATCCCTAGCTACAAGGGAATATGGAAAGGTGAACGTTTTTGCTGGATACATTATGACCCTGAACAATTAGAGTTTTCTTAATAAGAAAGGAAGGGAAAATGAATATGGCATAAGCAGTAAGTAGACACCTGCTACAAAGTAACTAATTTTGATCCAAATACCAATTACTTTTTAAAAGAATAACTTCATTGCACTCTTTTTTTTAAAAAGAGGAGTGTCTTAGTCTTTGATGATGCTTTTCTGAATTTCAGTATTGTGTATTAGCTAATTGGTATCTAGTCCTCTGGAAGTTTCAAATTTCAAAAAAGCACTAGACTGATTGTCAATACAGGTAAAATAAGTATAATATATTCAGTAGCAAATGAATGCAGGTTGTAATGGTTAATATTCAAAGATAACATTTTTTTTTTTGTAATTGAAAAATTATTATCCAGTGCATCATGACTAGGGAAATGAATTCTCTGGTTGGCTAGCAATTGCTATAAATGGCCATCCTTTTAGTGTTAAAGCTCAGACTAGGGAGGGAGAAGACTAGCAGGAGCAGTCAATGATGGCAGTCAAGGTAGTGAAAGGAGTGATGAGCAGCAAGCAGCAGATACCCTGTTTCCTAAGAAGAAAACCAAAGACAAATGAAGATTGAATAATTCTTTAGTGTAAAGATTTATTGAGGGTGAGCCAACAACTTAATCTACACCTTAGTAATTCTAGAACTCTTCAAAATAGCTTTCTGAAAGCATTCCAGTCAGTTAGTCAGTAGATTACATATTAAATATAGTACAAAGCATAATTTAATAATATTTTATAGTAAAATTTAATTGATAAAGCACTTTAGAATATTCCCTACAGAGAGAATGTAAATATTGAGAAAAGAATAGACTTCGGAGTTGGAGTGGTTAGTCATTCTATTATTTAATATTTGTGTTGAATACCAACTCTAGTTGTATGACTTTGGACAAGTTGTTTAACTTTGTTGTCTTCTTAATTTCTTATCTTCAAAATATATTTAAATGAAATGCTATATGCAAAGGCCTCCCACCACATAACACATAATAGATGGTCGAAAAATAATAGTCTAATAATATGCTAAGTATCTGTAACATGGATGTCAGTAGCCAAAGAAAGGTGTATACAAAAGGAACACAACAGAGTTAGCTGCATTACAAAATACATTTTATCTTTTTCCTCCAGAACAGTGATTCTGACCATTTTGGGTCATAGATGCCTTTGAGAATCTGATCAAAAAGCTAGGAGACGGGAGGTTGGGAGTCACATTTATATAATTTTGCTTTTTTTAAAAGTCATTTTTCCATTTGTACATTAAGAATACTCTAGAAGAAAGCTAAAGAACACTTTTCTTAAAATGCTGTATTCATGTTAAGATGACAGAATAGACATATTTACATAACTTAAAAGTAGTAAGGCAAAAAGACAATCAATGAACTGTACTAGAGATTATCTAGGTTTAAAGCTGTAAAGGCTCGTCCTAGAATGCAACAACTGCCATCAGAACACCTATCAGAATACCCAAGCCACGTTCTGAGTGAAAAGTTTTCGGAGAAAACAGCTGATAGTTCTGGTCACATAAGTGTTTCTCATTCACTGCACAAGAGCCTGTTCTCTTGGAAAGGCAACAGGTGTTGAATGTTTATGGTAGTTTTTGGTTTTGTTTCACTTATATATGTTTTACTTATTTGTTAGAGATGACGTATATCTAAAGCAGTCTCTTTTTTTAAAGATTTTATTAATTTATTTGACACAGAGAGAGAGACAGCTAGAGAGGGAACACAAGCAGGGGGGAGTGGGAGAGGGAGAAGCAGGCTACTGGCCGAGCAGGGAGCCCGATTCAGGTCTCGATCCCAGGACCCTGGGATCATGACCTAAGTCAAAGGCAGATGCTTAACGACTGAGCCACCCAGGCACTCCTAAAGCAGTCTCATTTTTAAGACTATCGTTGTCAAAATGACAAGTATTTTGGTTAGAGTTAAATTTTTTTACCTTTTTTATTTATTTATTATTTATTTTATTTTATTATTTTTTTAATTTAATTTTATAATGTTATGTTAGTCACCATACAGTACATCATTAGTTTTTGATGTAGTGTTCCATGATTCTTTGTTTGTGTGTAACACCCAGTGCTCCATGCGATTCGTGCCCTCCTTAATACCCATTACCAGGCTAACCCATCCCCCTACCCGCCTCCCCTCTAAAACCCTCATTTGTTTCTTGGAGTCCAGTCTCTCATGGTTCATCTCCCCCTCCGATTCCCCCCCTTCATTTTTCCCTTTCTCCTAATGTCCTCCATGCTATTCCTTATGTTCCACAAATAAGTGAAACCATATGATAATTGACTTTCTCTGCTTGACTTATTTCACTTAGCATAATCTCCTCCAGTCCCATCCATGTTGATGCAAAAGTTTGGTATTCATCCTTTCTGATGGCTGAATAATATTCCATTGTATATATGGACCACATCTTCTTTATCCATTCGTCTGTTGAAGGGCATCTTGGCTCTTTCCACCACATGGTACTGGCACAAAAACAGACATATAGACCAATGGAACAGAATAGAGAGCCCAGATATGGACCCTCAACTCTGTGGTCAAATAATCTTCAACAAAGCAGGAAAAAATATGCAATGGAAAAAAGACAGTCTCTTCAATAAATGGTGCTGGGAAAATTGGGCAGCTACCTACAGAAGAATGAAACTCTACCATTCTCTAATACCATACACAAAGATAAACTCAAAATGGATGAAAGACCTCAATGTGAGACAGGAATCCATCAAAATCCTAGAGGAGAACATAGGCAGTAACTTATTATTTTTCTTAGTTTAAAGTAACTAGTAAGAGTCTTTAGTTTATTTATTTCTTTACTTAGTTCTCTTTATTACTATTACTTTTGCCATGATAGAGCAAAATCTTTCTCATGATGGGTCTAAAAAATTCTTTGCATTTGGTGAAATATAACAAACTAACATTTTAACCATTTTTAGGTATATAGTTCAAGTGGCATTAGTACATTATCTTAAAACTTTAGTACATGTATTTCTAGTTTAAAATGTTATTACTAGAGTATTTTTACTTCTCACTAGCTTTACTTAGAATATACTTATAATATATTTGTATAATCAAAATTCTAACTTATAACCCAATCCCAATTACAGAAGTACTTAACTTATTTAGCATTAAAGAGGCCAAAAAAATAATCATTTGTAGAAATTTACTACTTTGCCTTTGTATTCCCATATTTACCTTAAGATCCCAATTTAAAAAGTGTTATAGTATTCCTTTTAGTATTAATATTAGTATTATAATTGGTAATTTGTTTTTGCCTCTTTGTCTACTTAGTAGCATTTATAAAGTTTGGGTTTATAAATTAATATTGTTTGGGTTATTTTCAATAAATTTACATTTTTTTCAATGTGGTCAGATTTAATTTTTCTAGCAATCTGTCTTCTATAACTCCCTTAAGGAAAACTTTTTCACACCTGACTGTGAACCTAGAATTTATTTTTAAGTCCTTACTTTTTTAATGAATATCATCCCAAGTAATTTGAAAAAACAATAAAATTAAAACTGCTTCCATTCCTACCACCCTAATTTCACTTTCAATTCTTTTTTCCATGGATATTTTCACAGCTGATATAAGCAAACAGAGACAAAACTTCGCAAAAGGACTTACCTACAGTCTTATAACTCTGGACACAAACCCAGTACTGTCACTTTCAAATTGGTGCTCTTTTCTCTATACCTTTTCTGCATTATCTACCCCTTAACTTCTCAAATCTATTCACTTCTTTCTGTCTCCCACTGCCACTACCCTTATTCAGACTCCTACCCCCCATTATTGGACCGTACATTTGGTCTTTTTGCTTCCATTCAAATTCCACTATAATGAAAATGAGCTTTCTAAAAAGTAACTCTGAGCATATCACTCTTCAGTGCCTTCTCCTTAATATAAACTCTGTTATGATTTCCCAGGCCTGGGTACCTCTCAAGTTTTATATATAATCTCTCATTATATTTTCACGTTAGCCATTACTAACCTACTTGTAGTTCTCAGAATAGACCATGTTCTTCCAATCAGATTCCATAATTAGTGTATCAAGACAAGAAAAGACTCAAATTGTAAACTTGGATTTCCAAAGATGACAAGCTAGCCAAGGCCTATTGTTGACTAATATAAATTACACAATCAAGGCTTGTCTTTTTAAGAGACAAGTAATTCAAGAAGATAAAAGAATAAAATTATCAGGGGAAATATTTAAAGAAGCATTTTGTTTTGTTTTGTTTTTTAAGAGAAAAGATGTAATATTTGGCAAATAGGTTCAGACCATTAGGATCATTGCATTTTATAGCTGGAAAAGACTAAAGAGATCATCTAGTAAAGCTCTTAAATTTTAGTCAAGTAAACTGATCTCCATAAAGACTATATTTTTAGCTTAAGGTAGCATTTGTGTCCTGGCTGAGAGCATTTCTAAGACCACCTGACTCAGACCAGTGCTCTAATCATACCATCCTGACTCCCTAAAGGGTGAAATATAATCATAAATCATGTGAAGAAACAACCCCCAACTTTACTATATCTCAGATACATCGAATGACATTGTTTCCCAGTCATAGTGCCTACCATTGGCATAGAAAGTATTGAAAAAAAGAAGAAAAAACAATTTTAAGCTTTTAGAGAATCATTGGCCAACTGCAGTTTGGGAAGGAGTATTGAAAAGCTAAAATGGAATTGTCCCCAAGAGGAAGTTTCTTGGCATAGCTCTCTCCTGCTTATGGGATTTCTGTCTCAGCCCCTCAAATGTCCAAAAGATTTCATTTCCTTTTATCACATTGACCAAAATTTTCCTAGTTAAGGGTTCTGAGAATGCTATTGGATTATCCCTTTCACACTTTAGTATAACCCCTTAGCTGACATTTTCCTACTTAAGGTTTAGTAGGTTTAAAGAAAGATAAATAATTTTAGGGGGTAGATTAGAGAACACTTGCAGCTAACAACATGAGGTTTAGGAAAATGGGAACCTACAAAAGACTTTTCACACTTTTGCTCTAAGATGAAGCTTATACCAGATTGGGTGAAGGCAAGAAATTTTTATTACATGCAACTCTAGACACTGAATACAGGGGCTATAACACTGAAATAGTTTGACACACCCCCTGTCCTGGTTGTGAACCTTACATTCTGAGCACAGACAGAGAAACTATAAACAGATAGATGAATTAAATTGTTACTGATCGATGCTATGGCAGAGACTATTGGGGGTGGAGGGTATCCATCTTTAAATATAATGCTCAGGGAAAGCCCTGAAGAAGTGGCATTTAAGCAAAAACTGGTCATATTCATATTTTCACAACATTATCAAGAAGTTAGATAGACCTGGGCGCCTGGGTGGCTCAGTTGGTTAAGCGACTGCTTTCGGCTCAGGTCATGATCCTGGAGTCCCGGGATCGAGTCCCGCATCAGGCTCCCTGCTCGGCAGGGAGCCTGCTTCTCCCTCTGACCCTCCCCCCTCTCATGTGCTCTCTCTCTCTCATTCTCTCTGTCTCAAATAAATAAATAAAATCTTTAAAAAAAAAAAAAAAAGTTAGATAGACCCAAGAAACTGTCATCATAATAAAATTTGTTCTGAGTTCCTAATACTTAGTTTCTGAGAAACTTAAAACTTACCTTGCTCTGGGCATCTCGGTGGCTCAGTTGGTTAAGCGACCCCCTTCGGCTCAGGTCATGATTCTGGAGTCCCAGGATCAAGCCCTGCATCAGGCTCCCTGCTCAGCAGGAAGTCTGCTTCTCCCTCTGACCCTCCCCCCTCTCATGTGCACTCTCTCTCTCTCTCTCTCTCATTCTCGCTATTTTCTCAAATAAATAAAATATTTAAAAAAAAAAAACTTATCTTGCTCGTAAGTTATAGACCACTTATACCAGGATGTTTATTTTTCAAATCATTCCTAAATATTATCATCTTGTATATAAAAAATTAAAACTATTAGCACCAATATAAAATAAGTTTTATTGAAATTTATTTAATTTTAACATTCTTAATGGAATCTGAAGTATAGTTTGCATTGTTTTCCCCAGGAACTCAATAAAGATCTTCATTGTCACCATTTGCACCTCCAGAATACAGATTTGAAAGCACAAATTAAACATATGATGGATCTAGCTTGTCTTCAAGAACAACAACACAGGCAAACTGAGGCGTAAGTACATGGATTTGTCTATTCTATAAATTTTAGCACTTTAGACCTAAGGAACCTGAAACGTAGAAGTTGTTTTCCACTGCCAGAAAATTGAGTTTTATTTGATATAGGGTACATTATTTTTAAGTGTTTGCCAGCATCAGAAAGTATGCAGAATTAGAAAACTTTGAGAAAGTATAAAATATGTGGTTCTCCTCCAACTAATATTTTTAGTGCTTTATAGTTTTGAAAACATTTTTCTATAAAAATTTATTTTAGAAGCAATTACTTTTAATACCAGCTGAATTTTTAAGTGGGCAGTTTTTAAAGTATTTGTAATTCCAGAATGATTTTTGTCATTGAAATGAAGTTAAAGTGTATATTTTTTAACCTCAACTGTCCCAATTTTTATGTGATGCTATAGTAGCTCTTTCATGCTCTACTAACTCAGTAGTAACATCTTTTGGAACATAATAGTAAAAAAAGTATAACAGTCTTTATTTTTGTTACCTTGGATATGTCAGTCAACTCTTTAGGTGTTGCTTTCATGCTCTGTAAAAATGAAAAATTTATTTCTCTAAGGGTTTTCTGCTAGTATAAAATTCTGCTGCAGTTCTGGTATTCTCAAATAACTAGAAATTAATTTTCCATACTTCTGATGTAAAGGAAATCACATTAGGATAGTTATTTTAAAAAGAGTGAAAAGGAAAGGAAAAACTTTAGGGAGATATTCTTCTGTGGTTAGAAGCTCAACCTGATCTCCTTATACTTTCTAAATCTCTACCTAGAACAGACCGTGAATATTCATTTACTAGCACTCAAACCACTGGCAAGAGTTAAAGTATCAAGGAAACCCATTAATTTATTTCACCCATACTCTATTTACTATATCAGACAAATAGATTGATACATTTAAGGTAAATTTTAGTTTTAAATGGGCAAAAAGATTCTGACTAACTCTTACTGATTTAGCAAATTGCTCAACCAAAACATTATAAACAGAGACAATATAGCATAGTAGAAAGAGTATGGAGTTGGCCTTGAATTCTATTTTATATTAGCAATATGACTTGCATAAATTATTTAACCTCACTAAGCCTTAGTTTTCTTAAATGTTAAAGTAGATTATAATACTTTCTTTAAAAGATTTTGAAAAAATTAAATGACATTAAAAAAATAATGAAGGTGATGAACTATCAGAGCCTGACCTTGTATAGCAGTGGCAAAAAGTGATATAATATACCTTTAAAGTGCTGAAAGAAAAAAATTTCTAACCAAGAAAACTCTACCCAGCACACTTATTCAGAATTGAGGGGAAGAGATGAAGAATTTTCCAGACAAGCAAAAGCTAAAGGAGCTCATGAAACTAACCTTACAAGAAATGTTGAAGAGACGTCTTTAAGCTGAAAAGAAAAGGTGCTAATTAGTAATAAGAAAACATGAAGGTATAAATCTCACTGGTAAAAGTGAATATATGGTAAAGGTAGAAGATGAATTACTTGTAAAGCTAATACGAAATTTAAAAGAAAAAGTAGTAAAAATAACTCTAACTATAATAATTAATGGATATGCAAGATAAAAAGATGTAAAATGTGTCATCAAAAACATAAAATATGGATTTCACTTCTATGTAGAATCTAATAAACAAGACCAAAAAAGTCCTAGCCAAAGCAATTAGACATGAAAAAGAAAGGAAAGGCATCCAGGATTGGAAACAAAAACTAGAACTTACTATTTACAGATGACATGACAATATATATAGAAAACCCTAAAGACCACCAAAAACTATTAGAACTGATGAATTCAGTAAAGTCACAGGATATAAAATCAATATATAGAAATCTCTTGCATTTCTATATACTGATAACAAACTATCAGAAAAATTAAGAAAATAATCCCATTGACAGTTGCATCAAAAATAATAAAATACCTAGGAATAAATTTAACCAAGGAAGTGAAAGACCTCTACACTGAAAGCTATAAGAAATTGATGAAAGAAATTGAAGAAGACACAAATAAATGGAAAGATATTCTATGCTCATGGATTGGAAGAATTAATGTCCAAATGTCCATATGGTCCAAAGCAATCTATGGATTTAGTAGAGTATCAATCAAAATTCCAATGGCATTTTTCACAGAAATAGAACAAAAATTCTAAAATTTGTATAGCACTGCAGAAGACACAATAACCAAAGCAATCTCGAGAAAGAAGAACAAAGTTGGAGGTATCACAATTCCTGTCTGATTTATTTCCTTCAAACTATATTACAAAGCTATAGCAATCAGAACAGTATGGTATTCTTAAACATAAGCACATAGTACTCTGTAGATTGACTGACTAGAATTTAAATAAAAACTCTTAAAAAAAGAAACTGCCCTGTTATTAAAAAAAAAAAAAAAAGGCACATAGATTAATAGAACAGAGTAGAGAGCCCAGAAATAAACCCACACATATATGGTCAATTAATTTATGACAGAGGAGCCAAGAATATACAATGGGGAAAGGACAATCTCTTCAATAAATGATACTGGGAAAACTGGACAGCTACATGCAAAGGAATGAAACTGGACCACTTCTTATGCCATACATAAAACTTAACTCAAAATGAATTAAAGACTTGAATGTAAGACCTGAAACCATAAAACTCCTAGAAGAAAACATAGACGATGAGTTCTTTGACATCAGACATGGAGATATTTTGGATTTAACACCAAAAGCAAATGAAACAAAAGCAAACATAAGTGAAATTAACATCAAACTAAAAAGCTTCTGCACAGCAAAGGAAACCATCAACAAAGTGAAAAGGCAACTTTCCGAATGACACAAAATATTTGCAAATCATCTCTGCTAAGGGGTTAATATCCAAAATTTATATATAAAGAACATACAACTCAATAGCAAAAAAAAGAAACAATCTGATTAGGAATGGGCAGAAGATCTAAACATTTTTCCAAAGAAGATATACAGATAGCCAACAGGTACATAACAAGGTACTTAACATCACTAATCAGGATAATGCAAATCAAAACAATGAGATATCATTTCATACCTATGAAGTATGAAGAAAAGTAGAGTAAGCCTTGGGAAGATCCAGACTTCTAGAAAGACAGAAAAGTTCTTTGTTAAAACTTTTTTGTTATCTCTTCTCTGCACAGCACCTGATTAGTATAGGTGCTCAATAAATAATCTTTTTTTTTTAATTTACTTTATGCTTGGGGCGCCTGGGTGGCTCAGTTGTTAAGCGTCTGCCTTTGGCTCAGGTCATGATCCCAGGGTCCTGGGATCCAGCCCCACGTAGGGCTCTCTGCTCCGCGGGAAGCCTGCTTCTCCCGCTCCCACTCCCCCTGCTTGTGTTCCCTCTCTCGCTGGCTATTTCTCTCTCTGTCAAATAAATAAAAATAAAGTCTTAAAAAATAAATAAAATAAATTGACTTTATGCTTAATAACTTTTCCCTATAGTTGTTGCCTCCTTGGCTTAAATGGAGTACTCCCCACCCTCAGCAAAAAGTCACAGACTATTTATTTGTACTACTATCTAAATATTTAAGACTGGGATAATAAAGCAATTATTTCCTTGCTCCCTTCCTTCCTTGCTTGAGAAAATTAATGCCTGTCCTTTTCCCACTGCCCTACCCATACTTGAAATGATTCTATTTTCCTGGATGTTATGAGTCAGCTGAAACAACCAAGACTGAAGCATTTCAAGGTCACTCAAGTTGTTTGACATCTTCCTTGATATAAAAGTTAGGAACCATTGATTGAGTGTATAAATTTATAACTGTATAGCTGTGGCATTTCTTCAGTGAACATTTACATGGAGGTCTAATACATAAAATGATACCTTTGGTACTGCTCCGATTGATAGCAATAGAGAAGATTTTGAATCAGAGCCAAGAAACCAGTGTCCCATCGATTCCCTTTACCCACCATCCTTGTCCACAGCTCTTCTACTTGGAACCCCTTTGAAGGCTTTGAAAACCATTGCTTTAGCTCATGAAGAGCTAAACTTTCCTGAAGGAAAGTTAAGTATGATTCCTTTGAAATGTTACATACCTAAAATGAATCTCATCATTGAAGAGTATATTTTTTCATTTTAATCCTATGGTACTTAGTAACAACAGTATTTTTGTTTTATAAATCACATTACGCTTTGCAAAAATCTTTTATATGTATTTAACTCATTTAGTTCTCACAATAATCTCCTGGTGTAAGTAGTGACTGTCTAGTTGTACCCCAAGTTATAGAGGAGAAACCTCAGTTTGTGTTATTATCCAAGATCAGATGGAGTCAAGTGAAGACTAGCTGAGAATATGACCTGATGCTTATAATTCCCATCCAGGATTCTTTCACTCTATACTAACTGCAGTGAGAATATGTTGAGGCATTCTAAAGGAAAACATGTACAGGGTGTCATTCTAATGATCTGCTAATACTTTGGATGTTATGAAGAACTATAACAATATATTTAAAATGTAATATTTATCTCTCTTTCCTTGTCACCTTCTTTATATAGAGTATTGAATGCTTTACTTCCAGCCCTAAGAAAACAATATTGTGCATTAAAAGAAGCTGGCCTTTCAAATGCTGCTTTTGAGTCTGACTTCAAAGAAATTGAACATTTGGTAGAGAGGAAAAAAGTGGTGGTTTGGGCTGACCAAACTACTGAACATACTATAAAGCAACATGACCTACCAGAGGTTTCTGTTCTTATGACCTTTCCACAACTTGGACCACCAGTTCAATCTGCTCCTTGTTGTAAGTACAGCTTTTCTTGTATTAAGTAAATTATAAGGTTATTTCTAGAGTAGTGTCTTTATGTCTCAATCTACAGAACAGTTAATTTTTTTAATGGGTTTGGCTGTTTTGTGAGAATTAATGGGAAAATTAGCTTTAGAATATTTTTATTAATCAGTATCTTTCAAAGGTTTAAGAGCAAGTACGCTTGATATTCTAAACTCTAGCAATAAAACCTTTAAGTTATTTTACCCATTTTTGATGGAATAATTTTACCTCCATCCTTCTTTAAAATTTAACCTCAATTAAGGATTAAAGATTGTAATTAAGAATACTATATTCTGTAATACATAATAATCATCTTTTCTTAAAATCAACTAACGGCGTAGAATAAACTATATTTTGTTGCCATATCATTTATTATCTCTCCTGTCATAAAAGTGTGCTTGGGACATTTAAATTGCAAAACTAACATACGGTGTTGGTTAAAATAAATTCAGACAATATAGAATTACATATAGAAGTAGAATGCCTTCTTCAACTTTCCACAGAACCCAATCTTGTGTCCTGTCTTAGAAATAAATAAATTTAGCAGTTTGGTTATCTTTGCTGTGTGTGTGTGTGTGTGTGTGTGTAATATTTGTATTACACAATCTCATTTTAGCTTTTTATTAGGTTTCATGTGAACGCTAGCAGGTTATATATATTAATGTACAACTATTTTTGTTATTAGTTTATTTATTTAGTTTATTGTTAGGGTACATACATGAAGACTCTACCTTATTTTTTTAACATTTGTGAGAATCCAGACAACAGATGTACCATACTTTATTTAACCATTGTTCCATTGGTGAACAGGGCATCAGAAAGCATGCTTGTATATTCACATTTGTGCATGTATACCCAATTCCTAGAGACTGATTTGTTGGAATACAGGACAAAAAAAAGTTTAAAAATTAATCTGTCAAAGTCCAAAATTTTCTTTATGCCAAATGTATATGAGATACCTCTCTCATCTTTACCTTAACCCAAAATAATAGCAGCAACACTGAACTAGTGCATATTCTTTTTAAATTTGCAGCTCTCATAATACTGGTGACATTATTTCATCTTCTCTGAAGTATCCTCTTTACTCATTTGACTTGGAGTTTGTTTATTGTGCTGTAGAGTTTTACTTCTGGTTAAAACTGCCTCCTGCTCTACTCCTTCACCTCCAGACTTTTCTGTTTAGAAGTTTGGATCTTCCCAAGGCTTACTCTACTTTTGTTTCCAATGCTGATACTAGGAGGTCTCCATTTTGTTTAGACAGTTTTAATTTATCATACAACATCACAATCTACTGATCAGTTAAACTGATTGTCATTGGTAATTACCTCATAGTCTATTCCCATTCTTTTTTTTCTGAGTTTACAGATTTGAAAAAAGTATTTCTCATAATAGATTTTTTTTTAAGATTTTTATTTATTTATTTGACAGAGAGAGAGACAGTGAGAGAGAGAACACAAGCAGAGGGAGTGGGAGAGGGAGAAGCTGGCTTCCCACTGAGCAGGGAGCCCAATGCGGGGCTCGATCCCAGGACCCTGGGATTGTGACCTGAGCCGAAGGTAGATGTTTAACGACTGAGCCACCCAGGCGCCCTGCATTTCTCATATATTTAATACCTAGGGTCCTGATTTTTCTCTTCTAGCTTTTCCATTGATCCAATCCGTGTGATTTCCAACTTCCAAAAATCACTGTTTCTGATGTTAGCAGCTATTGCTTTTTTCTATCACTGATGCTGTGTCAGTAGATTTTAAGAGGGAGATGAGGCAAATCTCTGTAGATTTGTGTATTTGACCTTATTTCTTTTAGTATGATCTCTTGTCAACTGTCAGTCAAATATATGCTTTGTTACTTTTTCCTTTTGGATGTTTCCTGTTTCGTCGTGGATTTTGTTTTCTATTTAATTGTATCTGTTTTTATCTTTACTTCTATTATTTCTTTCCATCTACTTTTACTAGGTTTATGCTCCTGTTTTCATTTAACTGATGAAGATGTTTGTTCATTAGCTTTCACCTTATTTTTCTAATTTATACAATAATGTCCATAGGTTTCCCTCTAAACAAGATTTAGCTTCATTTCACAAGTTTTGATACATAGTATTTTAGATTATTATTTAGTTCAAAATATTTTCTGATTTCTGTTGTAATTTCTTTTTTGACCCATGGAGCATTTCTTTTCTTTTAATCAGTTTTTATATAAAATTATACTTTCAGATTGAGCAGATTTCCATTTGAATTAGATTTGGAGAAACAATTAAAATGAGAATCATACTTTTAAGTGTCATGTAGGCAATCCAATAAAAACTATTTCATAAAACTGTTAGTTTTGATTTATTCTTAATATCAAAAAGGTATGGCAAATTCCATTCTATTTTTTGTTTATAGCTTAATTGAATTGTATTCAGAGTAAATACTTAGTATGATTTTAATCCTTTAAAAATTGTAGACTCACTTTATTCCCAGCAATAGTGGGCTGGTGTAAATGTTTCAAGTGTGCTTATAAAGAATGTATATTTTGTAGTCATTTATTGCAATATTCTATATAAGTCAGGCCAAATTGGTTGTGTTCTTCAAATCTTATTCTTACAGACTTTTTTTTTTTAATTCATGTTCTATCATATACTGAGGAGACCTATTAAAAATCCCCTTATTACACTGGATTTTTCTATTTTTTGTCAGTTTTCTATTGCCATGCTAACAAATTAACACAAACATATCAACTTAAAATAACACTGATTTATTATCTCAAAGTTCTGTAGGTCAGAATTAACAGCAGGCTCAACTGGTTACTCCGCTTAGAATTTCACAAGGCCAAATCAAGGTGTCAGCCAGCTGGATCCTTTATCTGGAGGTTCTGGGGAAAGAATGTACTTCTAGGCTTATTCTGGTTGTTAGCAGAATTCATTTCTATGCAGCTGTAGGGCTGAGGTTCCTGTTTTCTTGTTGGTTGTTGGCCAGGGGTCATTCTGTTTTTAGAGGTCTCCCGTATTCCCTGGCACGTTGCCCTCTTCATCATTTCATTTCCTAGCCAACAAAGGCAGGACAGCTCATTCTCATGCTTTGAATCTCTGTCATCTTCCCTTCTGCTTCATTTCTCCTGCCTACAATTAGAGAAAAGTCTCTGCTTTTAAGGGTTCATTTGATTCGATTGGGCCCACTGGGTAATTTAGGATAATCTCCCTGTTTTAAATTCCATAACCTCAATTACATCTGGAAAATCCCTTTTACGATGTAATGTAACATATTCACAGGTTCCAGGACCTAGAGCATGGACATCTTTTAGAGGATGCTTCTCCTTGTAGTTCTGTCAATTTTTGGTTTTCATACATTGAAATTATATTATTACATCTGTATATTTCAGAATTTTAACATCTTCCTTTTCTTATAAAATGTACTTTAATCCAGTCATTTTTCTTAACCTTGAGTTTACTTTAATGTTAATATAGCTACCCCACTTTTCTTTGGTTTTTGTTTTCAAGGTTTGTCTTTTTTCTGATTCCTTCACTTGAAATCTGTAATCATATTTATTTCAGAGGTGTCTCATAAATATCACATAATTGGATTTTGCTTTTTGTTCTGTTTATCAGTCCTTATCTTTTAAAGAATTCATTCTTTTTCCACTTGGTGAATGTGTTGATAATTTGGTTTTGAATCTACTGTCTTGTGATTTGCTTTCTAATTGTCCTGCTTATTCCAAATTCTTTTTCTTTTGAACTTTGCTTTGAAGTGAGAGAGTGATGTTTAATATTCCATTTTGTCACCTCTGAGCTTAGAAGGCTATACACTGTTTTTATATTCTTTTAGTAGTTACCCTTAGGGTAACATTATGAATCCTTGCTTTATCAAAGTCTGTTTATCAAAGTAACTATGTTACTTTCACCCTCAGACAATGCTAGAAACTTAAAATTCTTTACCTGGGTTAACCCTTACCCTGACATACCACTGTTACAAGGTATTTCATTTTTCTCTATATATTAAACCCATAAAATGGGTTTTTTTTATTGTCTATACAGTGAATATTCACATTTACTTTTTTTGGTCTCCATTTTTTCGGCATCTGCATCTCCATCCAAGATAATTTTTTTCATCTAAAGAATCTTTTTGCATTTCCTTTGCAGTAAATATGCTGATGATGGATTTTCTTAGTTTTTATGTGGTTGAAGCTGTATTTATTTCACTTTCTTTCTTGAAGACTATTTTGCTGGGTATAGAATTATAGTTTAGTATTCTTTTCTTTAGCACTTTGAAGATATTATTTCATTATCTTATGTGTCTTTCTTACTGTTTTTGAAGTCAGCTGTCATTCTAAGTGTTGTTCCCTTGAGTGTAATTGGACCTCTGACTTCCTAAAATATTTCTGTCTTTGAGTTTTAGTAGTTTTGCTATATTGTGCCTATATAATTTTATTTTTACTTCTCTTACTTGGGTTCATAGAACTTTTAGAATTTGTGTCTGGATTATCTTTCATTCGTTTTATGAAGTTCTTAACCATTATATCTTTAAATATTGCTTCTGCTACTTTTGTTCTCTCCCCTACCTATGGGACTGCAGTTATATTACACGGTTCTTTCTCCTTGTCTTATCTGTAACTTTTTTACTCTCTCCTTTTCTTTGTTTTTTGTCTCTCTGGAAATTTCTTTTCACACATTCTGTAGTTTACTTTCTCTTTGCAGCTATGTCAAATGTTTCTTAAATCCATCAAGTTCTTAATTTCAGTTATATTTCAGTTCTAGAATTTCTATTTGACTCTTTCTTATAGTTTACATTTCTTGGTAAAAATTCTCACGAACACAATGGGAGTAAGTATTTTAAAGACTGTGTCTGAGAATTCCCAGGTCTGGAACCCTCTGCATCTGTTTCTGTTACCTCTTTCTGCTGGTTTTCTTTCACGTGGTCTCATTTTCTTGAAGGCATATTAATTTTTGTGCCTCAGACATTTATTTGCAGAATTGTTTATAGAAATACTTCAAGACTTCTGAT